CCTGTTGCCCAGGCTGGTCTTGAACACCTGGGCTCAAGGGATCCACCTGCCACAGCCTCCCGAAATGTTGAGATTACAGGCCTGAGCCACCACACCAGGCCTGATTTATGCTGCTATGAATGCAGGTGTGCAAATATCTCTCTGAGACCCTGTTTTTGGTTCCTTTGGGTATATAAGCAGAAGTGGAATTGCTGGATCATATGGTAATTCTATTTTTCAGTGTTTGAGGAGCTGCTATATTGTTTTCCACAGTGGCAGCACCATTTTACATTCCCACCAGTGTACCAGAGTTCCAGCAGTTTCTCCACGTCCTTACACACACTTTTCTTCTCCTCCTCCTCTTCTTCCTCCCCCTCTTCCTCCCTCCCCTTTCTCCTTCCCCTCCTCCATCGCCCAGGCCGGAATGCAGTAGTGTGATCAGAGCTCACTGCAGCATTCAAACTCCTGAGCTTAAGCAAGCCTCCCACATTGCCTCCTAAGGAGACAGGATTGTAGATGCACATTGCCACACCCAGCTAATTTTAAAAATATTTTTTTCTAGAGACAAAGTCTTGCTATATTGCCCAGGATGGTCTTGAACATGCTGCCTTCAGGAGATCCTCCCGCCTCAGCCTCCCAAAGTGCTGGGATTACAGACATGAGCCACTGTGCCCAGCCTCTTTTTGTTGTTGTTGTTAAATATTGGCTGTTCTGGCATTTGTGAAATGATGTTTCATCAGGATTCTGATATTGAATTTCTCTAAAGATTAGAGATGTCAAGTAGATTTTCATGTGCTTACTGGCCATTCGTAAGTCTTCTTTGGAGAAATGTCTGTTCAAATCCTTTGCCCATTTTTGAATCAGTTTATTTGTGTTTTATTGTTATTGAGTTGTTTATAGACTTGTTAGTGGGTGTTTTCAAGCATACACAAAAAGTAGAGCTCTCAGGATCTGTCACTGTTTCATTAGTTAACAGAACTTTGCCAATCTTCTTCACTGCCCTGTCCACACCTCTGAGTTTTAGTCCTGCAATATTTTTTATTTTTTGAGATGGAGTTTCGCTCTTGTTACCCAGGCTGGAGTGCGATGGCGTGATCTCGGCTCACCACAACCTCTGCCTTCTGGGTTCAAGCAATTCTTCTGCCTCAGCCTCCCAAGTGGCTGGGACTACAGGCGTGCACCACCATGCCCAGCTAATTTTTTGTATTTTTAGTAGAGACGGGGTTTCACCTTGTTGACCAGGATGGTCTCGATCTCTTGACCTTGTGATCTACCCGCCTGGGCCTCCCAAAGTGCTGGGATTATAGGCGTGAGCTACCACGCCCGGCTGGTGAAACCCCGTTTTTACTAAAAATACAAAAATTAGCCAGGTATGGTGGTGTGTGCCTAAAATCCTAGCTACTTAGGAGGTTGAGATGGGAGAATTGCTTGAACCTGGGAGGCAGAGTTTGCAGTGAACCAAGATTGTGCCACTGCACTCCAGGCTGGGCGACAGAGTGACTCCATCTCAAAAAATGATACTACTACTACTAAAAGATGGAGCTGAAGAAAGGGTTGTGGTTGTGAGTATGAAATAAAGCCTAGGCACAAGACAGGTCTACTTCCTGGCCCTAGGGAGTCACAGGCTTGGAGCCCAGACACCTCCAGGGTGCGTATCCTCCAGGAGGGATGGGTCTGAACCTCATAGCACTGACCCAGCCCCCCGCTACCCATGCAGGTTCCCACTGAAGGACGGTCCCCGGCTGCAGGCCTGGCTGCAGCACATGGGCCGTGAGCACTGGGTGCCCAGCTGCCACCAGCACTTGTGCAGCGAGCACTTCACGCCCTCCTGCTTCCAGTGGCGCTGGGGTGTGCGCTACCTGCGGCCTGATGCAGTGCCATCAATCTTCTCCCGGGCATCACCTGCCAAGGTAAGCGCCGGGAGGTCTTAACTACTGGAATCCGACCCCCAGACTTCCCCTCCTAAGGGAAGTCCCTCCTTGAGTCTGACCTTCGGCCCTCCCCCCCCCACCCCCACGACAGTTCCTGCCTGAGGTCAGGCCTTACCTGGGCAAGTCTGGAGACTGACCCTCCAGCCCTTTCCTCCTGAGTCGAAGTCTCGCCATGGTACTCCTTCACCCCATGCCTTGTTTTCCAGAGTCAGCGGAGGACCCGATGCACCCAGAAGCCAGTCTTGCCACCACCTCCCCCGCAGGAGAATATACCCCTGCCCCAGGGCCCTGCCATCCCAGTCTCTGGCCCAGTGCACCTAGTGGTGCTGGACCCCACATTGGTGAGCCCTGAGACTGCGGCCACCATGCTCCTGACCCCCCTGGCCCCTGCATCTACTCCTGAGGAGTCACAGCCTGAAGTCCCTGCCCAACAGGCCTGGACCGGGCTGGGCGCAGTGCTGGGAGCACTGCAGCGCCGGGTGCAGAGGCTGCAGCGATGCCAAGAGCGGCACCAGGCGCAGCTGCAGGCCCTGGAACGGTTGGCACAGCAGCTGCATGGGGAGAGTCTGCTGGCACGGGCACGCCAGGGTCTGCAGCGCCTGGTGAGTGGCACCCCAGCCTGGAAGCCCCATCCATGAGTGTTGGCCTGGCCTGCAGTGTGTTTTCATTTTGTCTAGGATCCCCTATTCAAAAATCAGAACAGGCCGGGCGCGGTGGCTCAAGCCTGTAATCCCAGCACTTTCGGAGGCCGAGGCGGGTGGATCATGAGGTCGAGAGATCGAGACCAACCTGGTCAACATGGTGAAACCCCGTCTCTACTAAAATACAAAAAATTAGCTGGGCATGGTGGCGCGTGCCTGTAATCCCAGTTACTCAGGAGGCTGAGGCAGGAGAATTGCCTGAACCCAGGAGGCAGAGGTTGCGGTGAGCCGTGATCGTGCCATTGCACTCCAGCCTGGGTAACAAGAGCGAAACTCCGTCTCAAAAAAAAAAAAAAAAAAAAAAATCAGAACATTCACCTGTGTTTCCAAATTTCTGACTTGGCCGGGCTCAGTGGCTCACACCTGTAATCCCAACACTTTGGGAGGCCAAGACAGGAGGATTGCTGGAGGCCAGGAGTTCGAGACTAGTCAGGGCAACATAGCAAGACACTGTCTCTACAGAAAATTAAAACAAATTTCTTGAAAAACAAAATCTGGCAATGCCAAACAACTATTAGTTGGAGCTGAGTAATGATTGGTCCATTTATTAATGCTAAATAATATTTGAGGAGCTCTTACTGTCTGCCAGACACAGAGTTATAACATAGTGAGTTGAAAACTCACTGTGATCCTTTGAGCTGGAGCTACAAGGTTAATTTTCAAAATGCAGTGGGTCATGTGTGTGTCCTAAAATTTTGGGAGGCCAAGGTGGGCAGATTGTTTGAGCCTTAGAGTTCAAGACCAGCCTGGACATGTTGAGACCGTGTCTCAGTAAAATACAGGAGGCAGAGGCAGATAAATCAGTTGAGCCCAGGGTTTTGAGACCAGAGTGGGCAACATGGTGGTAAAACCCCATCTCTACAAGAAATACAAAAAGTTAGCCAGGTGTTACATCTATAATTCCAGCTCTTCAAGAGGCTGAAGTGGGAGGATTGCTTGAGCCCAGAAGGTCAAGGTTGCAATGAGCTGTGATTGTGCTACTACACTCCAGCCTGGGGAAACTGAGACCCTGGCTCAAAAGAAAAAAAAAAGTCTGGTCTTTCTGGAAGGCTCTGCAGATCTAGCAGCACTGGGTTTGTGTTCCCAGGTTATAGCAGTAGGCTGGAGCTACAGTGTGGCTGCCTCTGGGGGCTTGAAGTTTGAGACTGTGGCCTGGGACACAGAGGGACAGTGGGGCAGAGACAGAGCTCAGACTCGGGCCTGGGGCTCTTTGTGGAGCCTGCCAGAGCCCCTGGGCTGACTGCATCTCTCTACCTCCCCTCCCCTCATTCAATCTCTGTCTCCTGCTCATCTATTCCTACCTCTCAATCTCCCTCCCCAACATTCATTGTATTTCTTCCCATCATCTCTGTCCCTCACCTGTTTCCTCACCTCCCTATGTCTCTCTTCATCTGCATATTTTCTCTCTCCCCCATATCTCTGACCCTGTCTCCACATCTCTCTTCCCCACATGTGTCTGTACCCCTGCATTTCTCTTCCCATTTCCCCATCCTTCTTTCCTCTCCCATGAATGTCTCTCTGGCCCTCACACCTACTTTCCTGTCTCCTCATACCTCTGCCCACATCTCTCTCTGTTTCCTGACACGCCCCCCCCACCTTTGCCCCCCTATTCTGTACCATATCTGTCTCTCCCCTAACTTGCTCCATAATATTCCCCGTCTCTACCACTTTGCCTTAGACGAGGGTCCTTGGACCTGAGGAATCCCAAACCTTCACCATCATCTGTGGAGGGCCTGACATAGCCGTGGTCTTTGCCCAGGGCCCTGCACCTGCCACATTGGATGCCAAGCCGGAGTTCCTGGACACTCAGACCCCCACTGCATAAGGATCAAGACAGACAATGTCAAGGGACAGAAGATAGAAGATGGAGGAGGAGAGACATTACGCATGGGCTTGGCCCAGCACCACTGCCTATGCCTGGGGAGTGGCAGTGCCTCCCTCATGGGCCTGGGTTCTACCCCATTCCTAGGGACCTCTTGAACCTTCAGGGTGACCTGGGCTCAAGTCTCTCAGCCCGAATCCCTGGGTACTCGGCTTCTGCCACCCCCATCTCAGATCTTTGCAAATCAGTACAACAACCTCAGAGCAGAACAAGTGTTTGGGAGAATTGTACCTGGTTCTGAGGAGACCCATGGCTTTGGCCAAGCCTGATACTGAGTTGAGGGTACCATGGTGAACACAGCTGAGAAAATCCCTGCCCTCATGGTGCTCATTCTACTTGAGTAGACGATCTAGTAAACAAATAAAAAGAACACTGCAGACGTGACGAGTGCTATAAAGACAAAAAAAATTCGGTTTGGGCTCAGGGTACAGCCCTCTAAAGCCAGGTTTTAGCAGAGACCTGGGTGATGAGAAGGGGCTGTGCTGGAGGGCTGCAGGCCTGGGTTCCAGAGGATGAAAAGGCCCTGGAGAGACAGCCTCCTGTCAGGGGTGTCAGGGCTGGGAGGCAGTGTTGCTATGGAGAAAACTATGGTAGGGAAGGGAGGAAGGGGTGCAGTTCTAGAGCAGAGATGGTGAAAAGACACAACAGGTAGGATCCTAAAATGGGCAGAAGGAGCCATGCAGAGATCTGGGGGAAGAGCATTCCAGGCATCACAAAGAGCCAGTGCAGGACCGGTACGGTGGCTCACACCTGTAATCCCAACACTGGAAGGCTGAGGCGGGCAGATCACCTGAGGTCAGCAGTTTGAGACCAGCCTGGTAACATGGTGAAATCCTGTCTCTACAAAAAATACAAAAATTAGCCAGGCGTGGTGGCGCATACCCTGTAATCCCAGCTACTTAGGAGGCTGAGGCAGGAGAATTATTTGAACTTGGGAGGCAAAGGTTGTGTGGTGAGCTGAGATTGTGCCATTACATTCCAGCATGGGCAACAGAAGTAAACTCCATCTCAAAAAAAAACTAAAACACCACACACACTTAAGAGCCACTGCAAAGGTCCTGGGGCAGGGAGGAGCAAGGAGGTCGGTGTGGGTGGGGTGGAGTGAACAAAAGAGGGTGATTTGCTATAAAAGCCATGAAATTAAAAGATAAAGGGTGAGAGGAGGTGAGTGCAGAGATGCTGGGGCAGTTTCCCATAGGGCCTGTGGGTCGTGGCTGAGAGCCTCGACTTCGAGTCGGAGTGCAGCGCTACAGGCAGATCCCTCTGAGGGAAGGAAGGCTTCCAAGCGACAGGTGTTCGTGGGTCCCTGTGGCTGCATGTTGGGAGGGGACAGGACAGCAGGTAAGAAGCTGTTGCCATAGTCCAGGTGGCAGAAGATGGAAGGATGGGCCACGATGAGGGCCAGGGGTAGTGGTGGGGAGAGTGAGATTGGAAATCTTTTGGGGATGGAGCTACTGGACCTGTGTATTAGAAGGATGAGATTTTCAAGGCTGTTACCTGGCCTGGTCCAGGCTGGGATGATTTGAGGCAGAGCAGACTACAGCCAACCCAGGTGGGAGGTCACGCCATGACAATGGAGCCACGACCCTTGGCTGGTTCCACGAGGCCTCCAGTGGGGAGATAACATGTTCTGAGAGAGTTAGAGGGGCCAATCAGCAGATCTGTTTCCCACACACTGCTACAGGCTTGTAGCATGGTGATTAAGAATCACTGGGCACAGTGACTCACACCTGTAATCTTAGCACTTTGGGAGGCTGGGGCAGGAAGATCTCTTGAGGTCAGGAGTTCCAGACCAGCCTGAGAAACATGGCAAGACCCCCCCCCACCTCAAAAAAAAAAATATTGCCAGATATGGTGGTATGCACCTGTGGTCCCAGCTACTCAGGAAGTTGAGGTAGAAGGATGGCTTAAGCCCAGGAGTTTGATGCTGCACTGAGCCGAGATCACAACACTGCACTGTAACCTGGGGGACAGAGTGAGACCTTGTCTAGGAAAAAAAAAAAAAAAAGAACCAGACTCTAAGACTGTCTGGTTTCAAATGTTCACTCCATCACCTGCTCAGGTACTTTTGGGCAAGCAGCTAAACCTCTGTGGGCCCAAGTGTGTGAGCCTTGCATGATGAGGGTAAGGATGAGATGATCATGCTAGCAGTCTCTAGAGATAATCACCCTCTGAAACACCTTTTATACATGGTTAGCTTGGAGAAGGGGTCCGGTCTAGGGTCCTAGAGAGAGAGAACACCCATCGTCACCACGCCCCAAGACCACTGCCCTCACCGGCCTGGTTTGCAGGCTTTGGGGAAGGGGATGGAGAAGATCTGTGCCCGTTCTCTCAACCCTCTCTTTTGCCGTTGTATCTGCTCATCTCGCACCTTTCCGTAGCCATCTCTTCCTATCCCATTGCTCGGAGGCTCTCCTCTTCCCGTCGCCGCCTCCGCCCCGCCATGAATGCGAGCACCTCCCCGTCCCTCCTCCTGGTCTCTCCTCCCCCGCCCTCGGTGGGGGGCAGCATGCGCATGCGCTGTCGCGCCCCTCCCTCTCCGCCCCCACCCCCCGTCGGCGTCTGGGCCTCGTCCCCTTCTCTCTGTCTCCCTCGCCTACCCCATCACGTCCCCTGACACCGACACCCCATTGCTCCCGCGGTCTCCCCAGTCTCCGCTTTGGTCCCCAGCGCTGTCCACCCGAGGTAAGATGGGGAGGGGGAGGCCCGCGGAAAAGGGGAGGGGCGAAGCATCCTGCATCCAGAGATAAACAAACCCGGGGAGGGGGCGGCCGAGACTGAGGGGCCTGCCGCGGGAGGAGAAGAATGCGGGGCTGGGCCTGGGGGAGGTGGCAGACGCTGGGCGCACACACCGGGACCCTCCTTGGGTAACCGGGGTCCTTATGGTTGCCCAAGATTCAGTTGCGCGGAGGCCACCCGGGGCCCTGGGAGCTCCTAGGGGCTTGGACCCAGGAGCCTGCGGGGCACCCTCTCCAGCTGACCTCTGCCTCCAGGATTTGCCTGAAGGCCGCCCCCAACTCTGTACTCACCCCCCGAGGGCCACCAAGGACCATGACTAAGACAGATCCTGCCCCGATGGCCCCGCCGCCCCGAGGAGAGGAGGAAGAGGAGGAGGAGGAGGAGGAGACCGTCCCTGAGGCCCCCAGCCCCACCCAGGAACGCCGGCAGAAGCCTGTCGTGCACCCCTCGGCACCTGCCCCCCTCCCTAAGGACTATGGTAACCACTGCCCCCACCCTGGAATCTGGCCTGGAGCCTTGGATGGCTGGGGAGGGTGGGCTGTGCTCTACTGGTGGTGATGGTCGGAGAATTCTGGGGAATTTGAAGGTGGTCCAGAGGAGTCTTGGCTGCAGAGCACCCCTTGCCAATTCATTCATCCGCTCACTGGAGAATGGAATTGTAATACTCCTAGTCTTTGATTCATGACACATCATCCCATCATTTAGTCATTCGACAGTCATTTATTGAAAGCGGCTTTGGACCTGGCTCTATACTAGGGGCTGGGGCCACAGCAGGGGGCAAGACAGACCCAGTCTTTGCCCTGAGACAACTCACAGGGCTCAGTAACAGCCACACAAATAGGTATTAAACCATAATGTAATTTTAGCTCATATTTAGGTTTATATGCAAGAAAAGAAAAATATAATGTAATATAAATGTGTAATTACAAGACATGATGAAAACTGGATTTACCAAAAACAAGCTGCTGCAAGAGTTTTTAAAGACATAGTTTCCCTGAGGAGGTTACATGTGAGGAAGACTGGAGGGCGAGTTGGGGTTAACTAAGGGAAAGGTCAGGGGAAGGGGGTCCCAGGAGAGGTAACCGCTGGGTAAAGGATCCGAGGTAGGAGGATGTGAAGCTGAGAGCGCAGCCTCTTGGAGAAGCTGAAAGTGTCTAATCATTGACTGAGGAGTATTTATTGAATGCTGATATTCTGTGATGAGTCTTATGCTGGGTGCTGGAGATTTAATCCTAGGTGATCCAGGCATGATCCTGCCTGTCAGGACAGAAGGAGACTAAACAAGTGAATGAATAAATTGGAAATCAGATAAATTCAGATTTGAGTGAATGCTATGAAAGAAAGAAAAGGTGGGCCGGGTGTGGTGGCTCACGCCTGGAATCCCAGTACTTTGGGAGGCTGAGGCGGGCGGATCACCTGAGGTCAGGAGTTTGAGACCAGTTATGGCCAACATGGTGAAATCTGATCTCTACTAAATATACAAAAATTAGCTGGGTGTGGTGACACACACCTGTAATCTCAGCTACTCGGGAGTCGAGGCAGTAGAATTGCTTGAAGCTGGGAGGCAGAGGTTGCAGTCAGTGAGCCGAGATCAAGCCACTACATTCCAGCCTGGGTGACAGAGTGAGACTCTGTCTCACAAAAAAAAAAAAAAAAAAGAGAGAGAGAGAAGTAAAAGGAGGAAATATGAAAATGACCAGGGGGCAGCTACCTACAGAGGTAGTCAGGGCTGGTCTTTCTGAGTAGGTGACATTTAGTCTGGGACCCAGAGCATGGGGAGAAATCAGTCATAGGGGAGCTGGAAAAAGTGCTCCAGGCAGACAGTAGCAAGTGCAAAGGCTCTGAGGCAGAATTGAACTTGGAACAGAAAGACCCTGGGGCTGCATTCAGGGATTGAACAAGGTTGAGGTGAGAGGTTGGCATTAGGCCAGATCTGGAAGGGCCTTCAAGGCCACAGTGAGAACTTTGGTTATATTCTAAGTGGGATGGGGGAGAGGTGTGGCAAGGGGAGGGTTAAAGTTTAAAAGCAGAGGAGTGACAGGTCTGGTGTAGAGTTTGGAAAGCTTCTTCTGGCTACTGGGTAGAAGGGGATGGAGCGCAGCCAGAGTTGGATGTAGGAGGGGAATTTGGAAGATATGTAGGCTGGGAATTCCCGGCAGCTGTGAGGTTCAGAAACCAGGTTCAGAGAGTTAGCGTTGCCAGGATAGAGCAGGAGAGATGGCATCCATAGATATATCACCCACTAGAGGTGGATCAGTGAGACTACAAGTTGACTTCAGTCTCAAAGGAAAATAAAGTTGGCCAGGAACGTTGGTTCTGGCTTATAATCCTAGCACGCTGGGAGACTGAGGTAGGAGGATCATTTGAGCCCAGGAGTTCAAGGCTGTAGTGAGCTATGATCATACCACTGCACTCTAGCAAGACCCTAGCTCAAAAAAAAAAAAAAAAAAAAGTAGGAGTTGGAGAAGGGTGGGTGCTGATTTAGACAGTGTGGTTTGGGGAGGCCTCTCTAAGGAGCTGACATGTGGGCAAAGATCTGTAAAGCCTTGTGAAGATGTGCGGGAAGTCTATCCCGAGTGGGAAAAACAGCAAGTGCCAAGAGCCTGAGACAGGAATTTGCTCGGCATGTGGGAGGGACAGAGGGAGCCCGGTGTGGGAAATGAGGGAAGGGGAATTAGTGAGAGAAGGCTGAGAATTGAGGGACGTGATGTGCAGTGCCCCGAGGGCCGTGGGGAAGACTTTGGTCTGTACTCTGGATGGGATGGGAGCTGGAGGAGGGTTCTGAGCTAAGCAGGGCTATGATGTGGCTGCAGTTCTAAAAGGAGCACGCCGGCTGATTCCTGGAAACATCGTCTACATGGCATTTCCCTGGGCTGTGTATAATCTGATCATTCATGTACTCGTTCATTCACCACTTACTGAGTTCCTGCCACATAATGCCAGGGCCCTGTGCTGGGTGCTGACTTCACAGAGAGCCGTACTCCTTAGAGTCAAGTGGGCGGAGAAGTGCCTCTAGGCACCACCCTGGCTGGTCACAGGTTGATTCCTACTCACGGATACATTTTATTTAATTTTTAAAATTTTATTTATGTATTTACTTTTTTTGAGATGGAGTCTCACTCGGTCACCCAGGCTGGAGTACAGTGGTGCCATCTCAGCTCACTGCAGCCTCTGCCTCCCGGATTCAAGCAATTCTCCTGCCTCAGCCTCCTAAATAGCTGGTATTACAGATGCCCACCACCATGCTTGGCTGATTTTTGTATTTTTAGTAGAGTCAGGGTTTTACCATGTTGGCCAGGCTGGTCTTGAACTCCTGACCTCAGGTGATCCGCCCGCCTTGACCTCCCAAAGTGCTAGGATTACAGGCAGTGAGCCACTGCCCCCTGGTGGGCATTGAGATTTTTATGCGAGCCCACCTGAGATTGAAACCTCATGCTGACCACACAGAAAATGTCTGTTAGTTAACTGTGGCCCTTGCGCTACCAGTTTGAGACCCTGCATTAGAGGCTCTAAGAGGCAAAGACCTAGAGTTCCCCTACTGAGGCTGGAAGGAGGGGGTCAGTTGCATGGGGTGACCTTGGACCTCTTGCCACCCTAGCTTTCACCTTCTTCGATCCCAATGACCCGGCGTGCCAGGAGATCCTGTTTGACCCTCAGACCACCATCCCTGAGCTGTTTGCCATTGTGCGCCAGTGGGTGCCCCAAGTCCAGCACAAGATAGACGTCATCGGCAATGAGGTGAGAATACTGGGGAAACCAGGGAGAGGGGTATGTGGTCCCCCACATGTGTGTGACCCTCCGGCTCCCCTGGTACTCACAGATTCTGCGCCGAGGCTGCCATGTGAATGATCGTGACGGGCTGACCGACATGACACTGCTCCACTATGCGTGCAAGGCTGGAGCGCACGGAGTCGGTGAGAGCCCATACCCCCAAGCCAGAGCCCCAAAGCCTAGGCCCACAGACCCAACACTCTTAAAACCACCCAGAACTCAGGGCCCATATGGAACCCGAAGCTTACGGTCCCAAAGTATATTTCCTGGGGCCCAGGGCCCTCCCCATGCACTGGGCCCATGCTCTAGAATGGGGGTTCCAGGTTGATCCTGCCTGTTGTACAGGGGACCCCGCGGCAGCGGTGCGCCTCTCGCAGCAGCTGCTGGCGCTGGGCGCAGATGTGACCCTGCGCAGCCGCTGGACCAACATGAACGCGCTTCACTACGCGGCCTATTTCGATGTGCCCGACCTCGTGCGCGTGCTGCTGAAGGGCGCGCGGCCGCGAGGTGAGGAGGAGAGCCCTGGCTGGGAGGGGACAAGGACCTGTGTGAGGGAGGCGGAGACCCCGGTGAGGCCAGGCTGGGAGGGGAAGGAAGACTGCCATTCAAGGAGATAGTGGGAGGCTGGAGGCGTGGGAGAGGGGGGCTCAGTGGACCACCACTCCAGGGAGGGGCGGGGCCGCGAAAGAAGGGGTGAGGTTCCGAGATGGGGGCGGGGCTCTGCGTCGGAGGCCTGGGACCTGCAAGTTAAAAGATGAGCCCTGAGGTGGGAGGAAGGCTGGGGGCGCTCACCCAGAACCCCTCCTCTTGTCCACTTGCAGTGGTGAACTCCACGTGCAGTGACTTCAACCACGGCTCAGCCCTGCACATCGCTGCTTCCAACCTGTGCCTAGGGGCCGCCAAATGTTTGCTGGAGCACGGCGCCAACCCCGCGCTGAGGGTACTGCCACCCTCGCCCAGAACCTGTTACCCTCCTGCTCCCTTCCTCCCCCACTTTCCTCCAGCAAATCTCTGCATTTCCCATGACTCCCCAGATACTACAAATGCCGTCTGTACATTCAGCAAATGCAATAACAGCTGAAATTTGCCTACTGTTCATTATATATGTCAGGTGAAATCTATTATAAGCCTTGTTTTACAATGGTGAAACTGAGGCAAAGAGATTAAAGGATCTCCTCAGGGTCTTCCAGCCTACCCCGTGGCAGTGCGTGACAGCATTTCAAGGTAATACGGAAAGCAGGGCTAGGCCTTCTGTGAATGAGAGGGTTGGGCCCTCCTAAGCCCTCAATATGATCTCTGACCCCCGACCCATGCTCCATCCCCAATGCTAATTACCTTGCAGCTGTCCAGGCAAGGATATCTTGGGGGAACATGGCCTGTGCCCCTGAGATCTGCCCACTCTCTCTTTTTATTTTTTTTGAGACAGAGTCTGGCTTTGTTATCCAGGTTGGAGTGCAGAGGCAGGATCTAAGCTTACTGCAACCTCTGGGTTCAAACAGTTCTCCTGCCTCAGCCTCTCAAGTAGGTGGAATTATAGGTATGCACCACCACGCCTGGATAATTTTTGTATTTTTAGTAGAGATGGGGTTTCACCATTGTTGGTTAGGCTGGTCTCGAACTACTGACCTCAGGTGATCTGCCCACCTCAGCCTCCCAAAGTGCTAGGATTATAGATATGAGCCACCACACCCAGCCCATAGGAGCCTATTCTCAATGTTCATCCCCCACATGTCCCCATTACAGGTTTGGGGTCTCCAGAGACTGCCTCCTTGGGGGCATGACCTACAGCACTGAAATGTGGCCTTCATTCCTACTGCTTCTGCCCCCAATCCCACCCTCAAATTACTTGTCACACCTCCAGCCCTGGGTCTCAGGGGTGGGCTTCCCTGTGGTCTGCACCTTTCTGCCCTGTCCCTTCTTTTTTTTTTTTTTTTGAGATGGAGTCTCGCTCTATCACCCAGGCTGGAGTGCAGTGGCACGATCTCGGCTCACTGCAATCTCCGCCTCCCATGTTCAAGTGATTCTCCTGCCTCAGCCTCCTGAGTAGCTGGGATTACAGGTGTGTGCCACCACACCTGGCTAATTTTTGTATTTTCAGTAGAGATGAGGTTTTACCATGTTGGCCAGGCTGGTCTCAAATTCCTGACCTCAAGTGATCTGCCTGGCTTGGCTTCCCAAAGTGCTGGGATTACAGGCGTGAGCCACCGCGCCTGGACTTCCTCTACCCCTTCTTATTTTTAGGTTGGCTCAGGGTATGACCTAATGCTACCCCTGCATCACCCAGACTGGTGTTCTCTAGGGGCAGTGCCTCCATGGGGGTGTGGCCTGTGCCACTGAGTTCCCATCCCCTCTTCCCATTGTCTCCCCAGAATCGAAAAGGACAGGTGCCGGCAGAGGTGGTCCCAGATCCTATGGACATGTCCCTGGATAAGGCAGAGGCAGCGCTGGTGGCCAAGGAGCTGCGGACACTACTGGAAGAGGCGGTGCCACTATCTTGCGCCCTCCCCAAGGTCACACTACCCAACTATGACAACGTCCCAGGCAATCTCATGCTTAGCGCACTGGGCTTGCGCCTGGGAGACCGAGTGCTGTTGGACGGCCAGAAGGTCAGGGGCTGGGGTTGTGTGGGTGTGTATGGTGGGTGGGGGGCAGGACTCAGCCCCTTCATCCCTCGGAGGTGGGTCCTCAGGCCAAGTACAGTGTCTCCCGTTTGTCTGCCTGCCATCCTAACCATCCACCCAGTACTTGATTTCATCTCAGTTGTTCCTGAGTGTCTCCTTTGAAACTCACCATGTGCTGAGCTCTCTGCCTGGGGTGGGGAGGAGATAACCCATCATCCTGACAGTGACAGCTGAGAGCGGTCAAGGCTGCTGTGGGGAGGGGTGAGCAGAGTGATCTGTGAAACTCTGTGCACCTGTGGCTCCTCCTGAGTTTTTGAGGTCCTTGATCAGGCCCCTCTGCTCTCAGAGGCAAGTCTGGGTAGGCAAGTCCAGGTCAGAGTGATTGGGGTGTGATGGGGAATGCACCCAAATTGCAGATGTGGAGGAGCAAGCTGGGGAAAAAAAAAAGAGAGAAAGGAGTCTCAGGTAGGGGGAGTGGATGTCACAGCCCCGGAGGGCAGAGAGAATCTTCATTTATCCAGGGATTCCAACTTCATTTATTTCCTGGGTGTCCCTCAGGCTCCATGCGGGACCCAGTCTGTCCCTTAGGGAGAGAATGCTGTGTCTGCCCCCACCCTGCTCTCATGGAGCTCCACTTGTAATGAAGGGGAGACAGTCAAGAAAGTAAACCTACAGTTGAGATAATTTCTGGGCCGGGCACGGTGGCTCACACCTGTAATCCTGGCATTTTGGGAGGCCGAGGTGAGAGGGTTGATTGAGGCCAGGAGTTGTTAGTAACCAGCCTGGGCAACATAGCGAGATCCCACCTCTACCGAAAAAAAAAAAAAAGAGTAATTTCTGGTAGCATCTAGGGCTGTGAACACCATTACATGTTTGGATTTAGTAAATTTTCCCTGGCTGAATGCCAGGGTGGTTTTAGCCAGGGTGTTCTGAGACAGCTTCTCTGAGGAGGTGATGTCCAAACTGAGATGGGAAAGAACTGTACCTGCAAAGATAAGGAAGCAGCCGGGCGCGGTGGCTCACACCTGTAATCCCAGCACTTTGGGAGGCCGAGGCGGGTGGATCCCAAGGTCAGGAGATCGAGACCATCCTGGTCAACATGGTGAAACCCCATCTCTACTAAAAACACAAAAAATTAGCTGGGCATGGTGGCGCATGCCTGTAATCCCAGCTACTCAGGAGGCTGAGGCAGGAGAATTGCCTGAACCCAGGAGGCAGAGGTTGTGGTGAGCCGAGATCGCGCCATTGCACTCCAGCCTGGGTAACGAGCGAAACTCCGTCTCAAAAAAAAAAAAGGAAGCAAAGGATGAAGTAGGTATGGAGACCCTGAGACAGGAAGGGGCAGCGTGAGGGGAGTTATGGGAAGGGGGGTGAGGTGGAGAGGTCAGCCGGGCTGCATCACAGCAGATCTGTAGGCCACTGGAAGGAGTTTGAATTTTGTTTTTTTTTTTTTTTTTTTTTTTTTTTTTGAGAGAGGGTCTTGCTCTGTCACCCAAGCTGGAGAGCAGTGGCACGATCTTGGCTCACAGCAACCTCCCGAGTTCAAGCAATTGTCATGTCTTAGCCTCTCGAGTAGCTGGGATTACAAACATTCACCAACAAGCCTTGCTAATTATTTATTTATTTATTAGTTTTAATTTTTAGTAGCAACGGGGTTTCGCCATGTTGGCCGGGCTGGTCTAGAACTCCTGGCCTCAAGCGATCTGCCTGCCTTGGATCCCAAAGTGCTGGGACTACAGGCGTGAGCCACTGCGCCCGGCCCCATCTAGAAAGCATTCTGCTGTACATGATCTAATCATTTCCATTGCACAATTCTGAAAGAAGGGTAGGTTGACTCTTCCCATTTTACATCCCAGAAGACTATAAAAGGCTCCAACAGGTGAAACCTTTGTCTGAAGACATGGAGTACCAATCATGCCCCTTAGAGAAGAAGTATAGCACAGTGTTAAGACCTCAGGCTCAGGGACCTGCCCGAGTAAATCTCAGCTTTGCAACATCCCAGCTATGGGACCTGGAGCCAGTGATTCTGCCTCTCTGGGCATCAATGTCTTCATCTGTAAATGGAGATAATACTAGTATCACCTTAGGGGGTTGGGTGAGGTTTAAACTAATTAAAATGCGTAAGGTCATTAGAACAGAGTCCAGTGCATACTAAATGTTCTTTGTGTGTCAGGCACTATTGTGGTCCCTCCATCAACCCTCTAAGATCAGAGCTAATTAATTATAGCCCATTGTATGGACAAGGAACTGAGGCATGGAGAGGTGAATGAGCCTCCCATAATGATGATAACCACACTCTAAAGGCTCACTGCAGCTAAGCAACTTTACATGTCTTAAAAATGTTTCTGGCCGGGCACAACGGCTCATGCCTGTAATTCCAGCACTTTGGGAGGCCAAGGTGGATAGATCACAAGGTCAGGAGTTCAAGACCATCCTGGCCAACATGGTGAAACCTCATTCTACTAAAATACAAAAAACTAGCCGGGCGTGGTGGCGCACACCTGTAATCCCAGCTACTCAGGAGGCTGAGGCAGGGGAATTGCTTGAACCCCAGAGGCAGAGGTTGCAGTGAGCTGAGATCGTGCCACTGCACTCCAGCCTGGCGACAGAGCAAGACTCCGTCTAAAAAAAAAAAGTTTCCGCCAAATGTGGTGGCTCATGCCCTTAATCCCAGCACTTTGGGAGGCAGAAGGATCGCTTGAGCTCAGGAGTTCAAGACCAGCCTGGGCAATACAGTGAGACCTCATTTCTACTAAAAATGAAAAAACTAACCAGGCATGGTGGCACACACCTGTAGTCCTAGCTACTTGGGAGGCTGAGGTGAGAGGATCGCTTTTGCCCAGGAGTTTGAGGCTGCACTGTACTGGTATTGTGCCACTGCACCCCTGTCCTGGGTGATAAAGTGAGACCCTGTCTCAAAAAAAAAAAAACAAACTTCTTGGAGACTTTGTTCATTTAAAAAAAAAAAGTTTCCACCGGACAATCACTACATGAGGTGGCTTACTATCTCTATTTTACAGATGAAACTGAGGCTCAAGAAGTCCCCTAGCCAAAGTTATAGCATGATAATAGCTAACAGGCTGGGCACAGTGGCTTCACACCTGTAATCTCAGCACTTTGGGAGACCAAGGTGGGAGGATCACTTGAGGTCAGGAGTTTGAGACTAACCTGGGCAACATAGGGAAACTCCATCTGTATTTTTTTTTTTAAAGTTGATTTTTTTTTTTTTTTGAGATAGAGTCTTGCTCTGTTGCCCAGGCTGGAGTGCAGCAGCACGATCTCAGCTCACCGCAACCTCTGCCTCCCAGGTTCAAGCGATTCTCCTGCCTCAGCCTCCTGAGTAGCCGGGATTACAGGCACGCACCACCATGCCCAGCTAATTTTTGTATTTTTAGTAGAGATGGGGTTTTACCATGTTGGTCAGCCTGGTCTCAAATTCCTGACCTTGCGAATCCACCTGCCTCAGCCTCTCAAAGTGCTGGGATTACAGGTGCGAGCCAGAGCCCGGCTTTTTTTTTTTTTTAATTAGCCAGGCTTTCATGGCGTGTACCTGTAGTCCCAGCTACTTGGGAGGCTGAGGAGGGAAGACTGCTTGAACCCAGGAGTTCAAGGTTACCGTGAACTCTGATTACACCACTGCATTCCAGCCTGGGCCACAGAGTGAGACCCTATCTCTAAAATAGAACAAAAAAATATTTTTTCAGTAACTAATACTTGCTGATCCTTTACTTAATACTAAGCCCTGTTCTGAGGGCTTTAATTTCTCTATGATAGCCCTGTCCAACAGAGCTTTCTGTAATGGTAGAAATATTCTGTGTCTGTGCTGTCCAGTAAAGTAGCTACAAGCCACATGTGACGATTGAGCACTTGAAATTTGGCTAGTGTGACTGGGGAAATGCACTTTTAATTTACTTTAAATTTATTGTTATTTATTTATTTATTTCTTGAGATGGAGTCTCACTCTGTTGCCCAAGCTGGTGTGCAGTGGCACCATCTGGGCTCACTGCAACCCTCCTGGGTTCAAGCGATTCTCCTGCCTCAGCCTCCCGAGTAGCTGGGACCACAGTTGCACGTCATCATGCCTGGCTAATTTTTATATTTTTAGTAGAGATAGGGGTTTCACCATGTTGGCCATGCTGGTCTCAAACTTCTGACTTCAGGTGATCCTCCCACCTCGGCCTCCCAAAGTGTTAGAATTACAGGCATAAGCCACCATGCCCAGACTAAATTTATTTATTTTTAAATTAAAAATTATAGCCAGGCCCAGTGGCTCATGCCTGTAATCCCAGCACTTTGGGAGGCCAAGGTGGGCAGATCATGAGGTCAAGAGTTCAAGACCAGCCTGGCCAGCATGGTGAAACCCATCTTTACTAAAAATACAAAAATTAGCTGGGTGTGGTGGCATGTGCCTGTAATCCCAACTGCTCAGGAGACTAAGCCAGGAGAATCACTTGAACCCAGGAGAGGGAGGTTGCAGTGAGCCGAGATTGTGCCACTGCACTCCAGCCTGTGCAATAGAGTAAGTTATCTGAGTCTTCTTCCTAGGGTATGTATTTATTTTTGAGACAGGATCTTGCTCTGTTGCCCAGGCTGGAGTACAGTAGCATAATCATAGCTCACTGCAGCCTTGAATTCCTGGGCTCAAGCTATCCTCCCACCTCAGACTCCTGAGTAACTGGGACTACAGGCTTGAGCTACCACACCTGGCTACATTTTTTTTCTTTTGTAGAAAACAGGGTTTTGCTGCTTTTGTTTTTTGGAACAGATTAAGATGAGAGAGTCTTAGTCTAGGCGCGGTGGCTCACGCCTGTAATCTCAGCACTTTGAGAGGCCGAGGTGGGTGGATCACCTGAGGTCTGGAGTTCGAGACCAGCCTGGCCAACGTGGTGAAACACCGTCTCTACCAAAAAAAAAAAAAAAAAAAAAAAAAAGATGAGAGAGTCTTGCCGTTTTCACCCAGGCTGGTCTCAAACTCCTGGCCTCAGATGATCCTCTGGCCTTGGCCTCCCAAAATATTGGGATTACAGGTGTGAGCCACTGCACCCAGCCTTAGTTTAAATTTAAATTGTTGATCCAGTAGGGTGGCTTATGCCTATAATCCCAGCACTTTGGGAGGCTGAGGCGGGTGGATTACCTGAGGTCTGGAGTTTGAGACCAGCCTGACCAACATGGGGAAACCCCTTCTCTACTAAAAATACAAAAATTAGCTGGGCATGGTGGGATGCACCTGTAGTCCCAGCTACTCGGGAGGCTGAGATGGGAAAACTGCTTGAACCCGAAAGGTGGAGTTTGTAGTGAGCCAAAATCACAGCACTACACTCCAGCCTGGGTGACAGAGCAAGACTCCATCTCAAAAATTAAATAAATAAATAAATTTAAGTTGTCTTATGTGGCTAATCACTATTCACTATATGAGACAGGGCAACTCTATAACAATTCTACAAGATGAGTATAATTTCTGTTCCCATTTCACAGCAAAGGAAGTTCAGACACAAAGGTTAAGTCATCTAGCCAGCAGATGGTGATGTGTGACCTGGGGTTTGGGCCCAGGGTGGCCTCATGCACCCACCTTGCTGCCTGAGTGCAGGCACTCCACGGTGGTCTCTCAGCCTTCCTTCCCCAGCCATTGCTTCCCTTCTCTCCCCAGACGGGCACGCTGCGGTTTTGCGGGACCACGGAGTTTGCCAGCGGCCAGTGGGTGGGCGTGGAGCTGGACGAGCCTGAGGGCAAGAACGATGGCAGTGTTGGGGGCGTTCGGTATTTCATCTGCCCCCCCAAGCAGGGTCAGTCCCACCTGGGGCCCAAGAGGGGTGTGGCCAGGGGTCCACTCAGTAGTTCTGATGCTGCTGACGATGGGGGATGGGGGCCGAGGGCAGAGGCTAGGATGATACCAAGCTTGGGCTCTGTACTTCTAGGTCTCTTTGCATCTGTATCCAAGATCTCCAAGGCAGTGGATGCGCCCCCCTCCTCTGTCACCTCCACACCCCGGACCCCCCGGATGGACTTCTCCCGTGTCACTGGCAAAGGCCGCAGGGAACACAAAGGTCAGAGAGGGGATCCCTGTGGTGGGAAGAGCCAGTTTGGAGATGTTCTGTGGGTAGCTCTGCTTCTGTGACTCAGCTTCTCCTCAGGCGCAAACTCCAGTTTTGGAAGAATAGCTCTGAGTTCCTGACTCCTATGACTCAGTTTTCCCTTTGGCTCGGTACTGGCCATACCCAGTTCTTAGAAGAGCCTGTGGGTTCCCTGCCCTAGTTTCCTCTCAGGCCCAAAGGTCTCCCCTAGTTTTAGGGAAGAATCTGTGGAGATCCTGGCTTTTATGATTTTATTTTAATTTTTGAGACAGAGTCTTGCTCTGTTGCCCAGACTGGAGTGCAGTGGCGTGATCTTGGCTTACTGCAACCTCTGCCCCCTGGGTTCAAGCAATTCTAGTTTCTTAGCCTCCTGAGTAGCTGGGATTACAGGTGCCTACCTCTATGTCCGGCTAATGTTTGTGTTGTTTTTTTTGTAGAGACGGTTTCACCATGTTGGCCAGGCTGGTCTCAAACTCCTGATCTGCCCACTTTGGACTCTCAAAGTGCTGGGATTACAGGCACCCATCACCACGTCTGGCTAACGTTTGTTTGTTTTTTTTTTTTTTGTAAAGACGGGGTTTCACCATGTTGGCCAGGCTGGTCTCAAACTCCTGACCTCAAGTGATCTGCCCTCCTTGGCCTCTCAAAGTGCTGGGATTACAGGCCTGTGCCACTGCGCCTGGCCTGATTTACTCTCAGATCCAATTCTCCCTTCATTTTAAAAGGACAGTTTCTGGGCTCCTGACTTCTGACTCAGCTTTTCCTTGGCCCACATATCCTTAGCTTTGAGAAAGGATTTTGGGGTTCTTCAGGTTCTCTGACTTGGTTTCCCTTCAGGCCTAAAGCCCCTTCCTAATTCTCCGGCATCTGGGATTCAGTTGTTGTAAGTAGAATTTTTGATGCTGCAAAAGAAGTGGCACTCGAATATAAAGTTCCTCAGCAAGGCAATTTACTTCTATAGAAGGGTGCGGCTCACAGACAGAACAATGGCGAGCACACACCTGGACAAGGAGGGGAAGGGGTTCTTATGCCTGATGGGGGTTGCCCCTACTGCTGTGTTGTTCCCCTGTTGGCCAGGGTTAGCCTGCACAAGCTAGACTAATCCCCACTGGCTATTTTAAAGAGAGCAGGGGTCCAAGCTGGAGTGGGAGCGTGGGTGGTTTGGCAGGTAGGATGGTTACGGGTGGGTCAGAGCAGGTAGCCAGGGTGACCTAGGTCAAAGAAGGTGACTAGAGCCGGTGACTGAAGCAGGTGACCAGGATGAGTCAGGACAGAGCCGGGGGCTGGGGGAACAGATGTGAACTGCTGATTAGAACTGGTGGAGAAGGTTGTTTACTGGAACTACAAGGAAGTTAACTTTAAAATAGAGAATTAAAGAATAATAAGAGAGCTGAAGATACTGACATACTGATTCCTTGAAGAGAAACATGGGGTTTACTATATCTAACACAGTTTCACTTCAAACCAAGAACAGGGTTTCTACCTTGGGGTTTTCCTGGTGGCACAGGGTCCCCAAAGTTGACATCACCCCCCGCCCCACCTCCTGTACCTTCTACCCTTAGGCAAGAAGAAGACTCCATCATCCCCATCTCTGGGCAGCCTGCAGCAGCGTGACGGGGCCAAGGCTGAGGTTGGAGACCAGGTCCTGGTCGCGGGCCAGAAGCAGGGGATTGTGCGCTTTTATGGGAAGACAGACTTTGCCCCAGGTGAGGATGGGGACTCTGGGCCGGGGGACAGGCAGGGCCTTGAGAAATCCTGACACCTTCATGCTGCAGGTTATTGGTATGGCATTGAGCTGGACCAGCCCACGGGCAAGCATGATGGCTCTGTCTTTGGCGTCCGGTACTTCACTTGCCCCCCGAAGCATGGGGTCTTTGCACCAGCATCCCGTATTCAGAGGTGAGCCCAAACTTCCAGCCCTAACCCAGGGTACCAGCTGGAGCCCTGATCCCCCAACTCAGATGGCCTCCTCCTCCCAGCCCAGCAGGACAGTATGGACACCTGCCAACCCCAGCCCTTTCCTCATAGGTTCCTGGGGCCCAGCTCTCAAGTCAGACCCCAGCCTCTTGTGGCTCTGACCTTTCCCCTCCCCATGTCTCCTCAGGATTGGTGGATCCAGTGATCCCCCTGGGGACAGTGTTGGAGCCAAAAAAGTACATCAAGTGACAAGTGAGTTGGGGGATGATATGTGGGGAGGAGTATAAGTTTGGGATGGAAGGAAGGGTCATGGATTCTCAAGTGTATACTGGTATTTAACTGGGGACACAGGGTCCAGAAAAATGATGAGACAAGGTCCCCAAAAGGATAGGTGCTAGAGGGTATGAGGAAGTTATCGACAAGGCTCTTTGGGGACATGAGGTTAAGCAGATGCTGGGGACAGGGGTAGTCACTAGGGGACATGGTGGAAATTATGGACAAGAGGCCAAGATGGATATTGGGAATATGGGATCCAGGTGGGAACTGGAGACATAGGGAGGTATTAATGACAAGGAGTCTGGATGTACTGAGGACACACGTGGTCTGTCACCCCCTCATTTTACACCCTGCCCTCCTCTTCAGTGACGCAGCCCAAACGCACCTTCACCACAGTCCGGACCCCAAAGGACATTGCATCAGAGAACTCCATTTCCAGGTGCGTAGCCAACCCCGGTCCCCTCTCCCATGTGACATTCAGGGAGAGGGATCCACAAGGCAGTTAAACCTAGAAGTCTGGAGCTCTGGTCAGGGCTGGAAAGAGAGGTTAGGAACTTGTGATTTGTAAGCATACCCAGAAACAGTCTTTAGGGTGTAGGGCCCCGCACTGAATTCTAGTGACTTCCACTTTCAAGGGGGCCGGTAAAGGAAGCGGAACACCCTCCACTCCACACGAGCCTCAGAACAGCCAGAGGTCAGGCGCAGTGGCTCACGCCTGTAATCCCAGCACTTCAGGAGGTCGAGGTGGGTGGATCACCTGAGGGCAGGAGTTCAAGACCAGTCTGGCCAACATGGTGAAACCCTGTCTCTACCGAAAACACAAAAATTAGCCAGGTACAATGGCATACAACTGTAGTCCCAGCTACTTGGGAGGCTGGGCAGGAGAACTGCTTGAACCTGGGAGGCAGAGGTTGCAGTGATCCAAGATCGCGCCATGACACGCCAGCCTGGGCAACAGAGGGAGACTCCATCTCAGAAAACACACACACACACCCCACAGCCAGAGAGGTAGAGGCAGAATCCAGAAAGGCCTGATGGCAAATGCTTGGAGAAAGGCTGGCAGTGATGGGTGCAGATGTCCCTGCTGCCTGCCTCAGGACGTGACCCCATCGTCCTCCTTTCCAGGTTGCTGTTCTGCTGCTGGTTCCCCTGGATGCTGAGGGCGGAGATGCAGTCTTAGAGGCCCTGGACACCCGACAAAGAGACAGAGTCCCCACTAGCATCTCCTGATACCCGAGGAGCCCTGAGTCACCCTGAGTTAGAGATTCCCAGTAACACATCCAGAGTAGAGACCCCTGTTAGCCAGCCCTCGATCACTGAGGCCCCATTAACAGATGCCCCCATCATAACCCCCAAATGCAGACCCCATTTCACCCAGAAAGATTCCCTGAGTAGCACCTTCAGGCTAGTCCCTATCCCCAACCCCTCAGAGCAGATTCCCAGATTAACAGATTTCCACATCACCCCAAATGATGGTGACCCTCTCCACATAATATACCACAACAGTACATTCTCGAATCACCCAGCCCTGGATCAGAAACCTCCCATTAACAAACACTCCCCCCAGGTCCTCTTGAAATAAACATAGGTCATACCCCCAGAGCAAAAGAGTAACAGACTTTCATGTCATTATTCCCCACTTAACATTAGTCCCCTCAAGATGTCGTGACCCCAGGGTCACCGTGAAGCCCTTACACTCCAGCCCCTCAATCAGAGACTTCCTTCATTAACAAAGACCCTTGTTCTTACCCTCAAGAAGAAACCCACCATAACCAACCCACTGTCACCCCTAATTTACAGACACCAAAACAGTCCTGGAAGTGCTAATTACAGGACCCCCAAGTCTTCCTACCCTCTGCACCCTCAAGAAACCCCCAGTGCCTTGTATGACGCCCACCCGACATGGCCCACAGTTCTTGTGCTGGCCAGACTCCCAGAAAATTCTCTATTTTTTAAGTAATGACTTCCCCCTTTGGGGGACCCCAAAATTTGGAGGCCCCATTCTAGGACTCTGGGGATCCTAGATCCTAGAGTACACACGTCTCAAACTCCCCTGTGCCCTCAAGTCCTACAGCCCCTAGAAGACCCCAATGCCCTAACTCCTAGGACCCCCAAATCATGGAATCCCCAAATCCCCAGGGAATCCCAAATTTGAAAATCCAATCCCAAGCCCTCAGGAAACCCAATCATGAGGTCCTTGTGCCTGGGATAGAGGAAACTGCAGTCAGGATATCCATTCCAGGCTCCCAGGTACCTCAAGCCCTATTCACAGGCACCAGGAAAACCCCACACAGGAATTCCCATCGCTGGAAACTGGAGAACTTCAATGCCCTGAGTCCATGGATCTCAAGATACCAAATGCCAAGAGCCCCAGCCCCAAGGGAACCCGAAATCCTAAAGCTTTTAATATATTGAAGGCCCCAAGGCCCTGAGGGGATCCCAAATCCTGGAACCCCGATTTCAGTCTACGTTCTGGTCACTGGCCTCAAAGGACCCCACAGCACCTGGGCCAGACCAACAGCCTGAGGGAGAACCTGAAGGCCCAGGGAGTCCAGGGCGGACCTGGGGCCCCGACCACCAAGGACAGCTCACGACTGCCCCTTCACTGCATGTCCCCAAACTCAGCATGACTCCTGTCCTCTTCAATAAAGACGTTTCTATGGCCTCTCTGTGTGGGGTCATTGTTTGGGGGTTTCGGTCCTGCCTCTGTACCCTTGCTGGGAGAAGACAGGAAAGGAAATGCTTCCTTCAGTCTCGCCTCCCTGCAGTGTGGGCATGGGGTGGCGGTGGCCGCGGGAAGCCCTTCTAACAGCTTTGTCTGTCTTACCGAGGCTGTCCCGGCTGCCGTCCTGGTCCCACCCATCAGAGTCGATCCGCAGTTGGCGGGTTCGGTTCCTAAGTTCTGATTGGCCAGTGCCAGACGACGATGCTCCGCCCACGACCTCCTGCCAATGGCTCAGAGGCCAGGAGCCAGGAGGCGCGGCCTATCCCTGGGCGAGGATGAAGGGGGCAGGCGAATACTGAGTGAGAGCGCCGATTGGGTGGAAGGCGGGCCCTTGAGGCCTCTGGGAGCTTCTATTGGCCTGCGAGTTCTGCGTCTGTAATGTGGGACGGAAATGGCTGGGAGGGGGATGGGGATGTTGAATTTGGAAATTGGAGGGGACACTGGTGGACGGTCAGTTTTAGGGGATGCTGGGGGTAGAGATGGGTGTCAAGAAGGCTGAAATTGGGGATCCGGGGGAGCCCAGAGTAGGAGTCCGAGGAGGCTCAGAGCTTGGAGTCCTAAAAGGCTCGGAGTCGGGGGTCTGAAGGGTTCAGGGAGGGAAAAAGTCTTGGGAGTCAGGCTCAGAGCTAAAGATCCCAGGGTGCTGGAGTGAAGGGGCGCTCAGGAAGGGAAATCCGAGGGGCGTTCAAATGGGGGGATGCGAGGATGCTGAGGGTGGGTATGTCTGAGGAGGCTCAGACTAGCATCACAGAGGTTCACAGAATGGGGTTCCGCGGGGCGGGGGGCGCTAAGTGATAGCCCGGCTCACGGTTGCAGGTCTGAGGTGGGGTCTCAAGGTGTTTAAACGGGTTCTGGGGTGCAATCCTGGGGGCTGTGTGTGGAGCTTTTAAGAAAGGCTCCCTGTGTGTGAGGCCAGAGAATGTTTTCCGTGGGAGGATTGAGAGGGCATATGCATCGTTTGATGGGCCCTTAGCGGACAGAGTAATGGGGGAATATTTTGGGGGCTCATTGTGTCCGGGCATGGAGCCTAGGGCTCTCTGTGTGGCTTGTAAGATGCTGAAGACTCAGCTTTTAGAGGCCCGATGAGTTTCAAAAGGGAGCTGAAGTGAGGCCTGGCCTGTGATGGGGTGAGGGTGGGAGGCTTAGTGACTTCAGCATGTGTTCTCCCTCCCTACAGGATTGGGTGCGAGGAGTTGGTGTTGATGGAGGAACAGGACGCCAGAGTTCCAGCCCTGGAACCATTCAGAGTGGAACAGGTTGTCAGAACTCGGGGTGCAGAGTGAAGGAGGCAGGCTGACTCCTGAGTTCCTGGGTTGGGACTGCCCCCTCCCACGAAATTCATTCTAACTGTCAGAGGCCATCCCGGAATGGCACTGGCCTTTGACTTCAGACCCTGACCTGTTTGAGGACATCCTGGGCCTGTCTCTAGGGGTAGGGGTTGTTCTGTGAAGATACGGCCTCTGTGTGGGTTGAAGAGCCGTATCTTCCGGGGGGGGTCTCTGTCCTAGGCACCACCCATAATCTACTATGTCCCTGACTTCATCTCCAAAGAAGAGGAGGAGTATTTGCTTCGACAGGTGACGTCAGTGCCCTTCTGGTCTATTTTCCCACTCTTCCCATATCCCTCCCCAGTGCCTGTCCTCTGTATGAGAGCCCCAAAGGCTGCAGTGAAGACCCTGGCAAAAGGAAGAATGCCATATAGCACTCGTCCTTCACCCTCCCTGTTCCTTTCTCAGGACCTTTGAGGGCCTGTCAGAAAGAGATTTCTTTCTCAGCCAGGCATGGTGGTGCATGCCTGTAGTCCTAACAGTTTGGGAAGCTGAGGCAGGAGGATCACTTGAGCCCATGAGTTGAAGGCTACAGTGATCACACCACTGCATTCTAAGCTGAGCAGTGGTCTTACTCCAAGTAAGCCCATCTCTAAAAAATAAAATTAAAAAAAGAGATATTTCTGGCCAGGTGCGGTGGCTCACACCTGTAATCCCAGCACTTTGGAAGTCCAAGGCGGGTAGATCACTTGAGTTCAGGAGTTCAAGACCAGCCTGGCCAACATAGTGAAACCCTGTCTCCACTAAAAATACAAAAATTAGCCGGGTGTGGTGGCAGGCACCTGTAATCCCAGCTACTTGGGAGGCTGAGGCAGGAGAATCACTTGAACCCAGGAGGCGGAGGTTTCAGTGAACCGAAATTGCACCACTGCACTCTAGCCTGGACAATAAGAAGAAAACTTTGTCTCAAAAAAAAAAAAAAAAAAAGGCCAGGTGTGGTGGCTTACACCTGTAATCCCAGCACTTTTGGAGGCTGAGGTGGGCAGGTCACCTGAGGTCAGGAGTTCAAGACCAGCCTGGTCAACATGGTGAAAACCCATCTCTATTAAAAAAAAAAAAGAGAGAGAGAGAGATTTCTCTAGGAGGCTTTGGAGAAACCAAACTGATTCTTAGCAAGTGGTTTTTATGAAGTTTAGACTCCCTGTACTGAGATAGCCCAGTCCAGCCTTCAAAATATGAATGTTATTGAGATCATATTCCTTGTCCAGGAATAGCCCAGTGCATCCCATCCCAGAGTCTCAGGAACGAGGAAGTTACAGAGCTCATACTCCCTGTACTGAGATAGCCCAGTCCCGCTAGCTTAGAGAATAGGGGGTTATAAACATAGGCTGAGATAGCCCAGTTCAGATCATTGAGACTGGGGAGTAAAGAATTTAGTATTCAGATTTCTGTGCTGAGATAGACCAGTAAACTCTTTCCTGTGCTAAAATAGCTCAGCATAGACCCAGAGCCTTAGGAATAAGGGTACCAAGCACAGACTATCTGCTGAGACGGCCCAGTGTATATTCTATTCTTAAGGTTTGCAGTAAGAAGAATTCACAAAGCTCAGAGACCCTGCATGGGGACAGCCCTTTGCAGCCCCAGAGCCTAAGTTACAGAGCACAGATCTTCCCTGTGTTGGAGTAACTCACTGAGCTTGAGTCCAGGAAAAAATTAGCTACAGAACACAGACTTTTTTTTTGCTGAGATCCCCATTCCAGACCTTTGGGTTCTTGTGATTGAAAAATCTACAAGGAAATTTTTTAAAAATTTTCCTTCAGCAAGGAAATTTACTTCTACAGAAGGGTGCAGCTCACAGGTGGAACAATGGCAAGCACACACCTGGACAAGGGAGGGGAAGGGGTACTTATTCCTTATGGAGGTCACCCCTATTGCTGTGTTGTTCCCCTATTGGCTAATGTTAGACCACACAATCTAGTCTAATTCTGATTGGCTATTTTAACACAGTGGGTAGTTTGGCAGGAAGGATGGTTATGGGCAGGTTAGAGCAGGTAGCCGGGGGTCAAAGCAGGTGACTGGAGCAGGTGACCAGGATGAGTCAGGATGGAGCAGGGGACGTGGGATGGGGGAGGGAAACAGACATGAACTACTGATTAGAACTGGTGGAAAAGGTTGTTTACTGAAACTACAAGGAAGTTAACTTTAAAATGGAGAATTAAAGAATAAGAGCTGAACATACGACATACTGATTCTTTGAAGAGAAACTTGGGGTTCACTGTATCTCAGAATCCCTCATCCTGAATTTTTACACTTTTTTTTTTTCTCTTCAAACTTAACATGTCTTGGCTTAATTGTTCTGCTCTCCCCTTGAGCACATCCATAGTGTAATTAATAAACCTCTGCTGATCATAATAGATATAATTTATTTAATTTACATTTTTATTGTCACCTACGAAAATATTGACTGAAATCCTGCAGCTATTTGGTTTTGGGTTTTAAATTTACTTGGTAACTCCAACAGTGTGTATATAAACATGAGGGTTAAAGGACCCATGTAAGGCACTTCTTTTTACAAAAGTCTGCATATTATAGGCTGGGCGCGGTGGCTCATGCCTATAATCCCAGTACTTTGGGAGGCCGAGGCTGTCGGATCACCTGACGTCAGGAGTTCAAGACCAGCCTGACTATCATGGTGAAACCCCGTCTCTACTAAAAACACAAAAATTAGCAGGGCATGGTGGTGGGTGCCTGTAATCCCAGCTTCTTGGGAGGCTGAGGCAGGAGGACTGCTTGAACCCTGGAGGCAGAGGTTGCAGTGAGCCAAGATTGCGCCATTGTACTCCAGCCTGGTGGACAAGAGCGAGACTGAGTCTTAAAAAAAAAAAGGCAAAAATTTACATATTGGAGAATTCCTGGGCTGAAGTAGCCTAGTTCAGCTCCATAACCATGAAGGGAATGTGTAGATTATCAATTAGAGCATAATTTGTTGGACTGAGATATTCCATTCAAGACCATTAGGATCTTGGCAGTGGAAGATTTTCAAGGTACTTTCTTTGCTGTGCTGAGATCGTCTAGCTTTGCACAGTTCCTCCCCCGGGCAATAGGAACAAGGAGATTGCAGAACTCAAACTGTCCTCAGAGAGCCCAGCAGTCAGGATTTTTTTTTTGAGACAGTCTCACTCTGTCACCCAGGCTGGAGTACAGTAGTGCGATCTCAGCTCACTGCAGCCTCTGCCTCCTGGGTTCAAGCGATTCTGGTGTCTCAGTCTCCCCAGTAGCTTGGATTGCAGGCGTGTATCACCACATGGCTAATTTTTGTTTTTATTTTTTGAAATGGAGTCTCCGTCTGTTACCCAGGCTGGAGTACAGTGGCACAATCTCAGCTCACTGCAACCACTGCCTTCCAGGTTCAAGCAATTCTTCTGCCTCAGCCTCCCAAGTAGCTGGGCTCACAGGTGTGCGCCACCATGCCAAGCTAAGTTTTGTATTTTTAGTAGAGATGGAGTTTCCCCATCTTGGCCAGACAGATCTCAAACTCCTGACCTCAAGTGATCCGCCTCAGCCTCTCAGAGTGCTGGGATTACAGGCGTGAACCACTGAGCGTGGAATCAGGAAATTAGAATGCTGACTATGCTGGGCTGAAAGAGCCCTGTCCAGCCCCAGAACTCTTAGACCATGGTTGCACAGCCCTGATTCTTAAATCCTGGTAGACATGGGTGGGCTTTGGGGCCAAAAGTGTTCCCAGGAAAGAAAGCAAACCACAAAATCCTAGGAACCCACTGCCCCAGGGAATGGTCCCACAGACACTGGGATGACCCATTTCTACCCCAGAGGTAAAGGCCCTTATGTTGGCCTGGGTGGGAGAATCTTAGAGGGGTGATCCTGAGAAAGGAGTGACCCCTTTTCCACCTCCTAGGTTTTTAATGCCCCAAAGCCAAAGTGGACCCAGCTCTCTGGGAGAAAGTTACAGAACTGGGGTAAGTGTCCCTGGCTGGGCATGAGTGATTCTGGGATGTAGGCTGGGGCAAGGGACTCAGGTCCAATAGCCTCAAGACATCAGAGGGTTCCTGATGGCTCAAGGGGCCCCAAGAGCCAGGAGGATTCCGAAGGGGTCAGTGGAGGTCCTGAGGGGTTCGGGAAATCCTGATGAGTTGGGAGTATCTGAAAGGGGCCCGTGGTCTGGAGAAGTTAGGAAACCTCTGAAGGGCCCAGTGGCTATCTCCAAAGGGTGAGGGGTCCCTGAGGGTGTCAGGGTGCTTTGAGCCACTGTGGAATCCCTAATGAGGTATCTGTGTGCTATGGGGAGCCCTCAGAACTCCATTGCCTTCTCCAGGTGGGCTTCCCCATCCCCGGGGTATGGTTCCTGAGCGGCTGCCTCCATGGCTCCAGCGCTACGTGGACAAAGTATCTGACCTCAGCCTCTTTGGAGGCCTCCCAGCTAACCATGTACTCGTGAACCAGTATCTACCTGGGGAGGGCATCATGGTAACCACACACACTCGGCCCGTGTCCTTCCACCCAGATTTCTAAGCCATCCTGGGGCAGGGGACCCTGTACCTACCCTCACTCATTAGGCAGCCACATCCCCAGGTAGGCATTCACCTCCCTGTCCCTGGGTTGGGAGCCCCCTTTAGATCTAGAGGGTGGGGGGTGTGGACTCCTACCCTGCCCAGCCCTGGTGCCCACTCCCCAGCCTCACGAGGATGGACCACTATACTACCCGACTGTCAGCACCATCAGCCTTGGTTCCCACACCGTGCTGGACTTGTATGAGCCGCGGCGGCCGGAGGATGATGACCCTACGGAACAGGTGGGCCCCCAGACACTGCCCCAAGCTCTTGCAGACACTTCAACCTCACACATCCTCCAAGATGACCTGGTCCCATGTGCCTTTGGGATAGTCCTGGCACTCTTCCAGATACCTTCCCTTGTCCCCTCATGGAGTGTACCCACTTTCTCCCAGATGCCCAGCCCATCTGCTTACAGTGTGCCTTACACACCATGATTTCCACAGGCTCCCCAGTGCCTCAACCTGCTGGTCAGATGCCCCTGACTCCCCAGCAGACACTAATATCCTCAGATACCCCACCGCCATTTACTCAAGGGGGCCTCACAACCTCCCAGATGCCCCATCTGCCCCTGCTCAGGGTGCCCTAGACATCCTGCTACTCTAGGAATGTGATTTGGGGTGCAGGACACCCCCAGATTCTCCTTGGCCCCTTGACACAATTTCTCTGAGTGATGCATTTCCAGCACCCTAGTGTTCACAGAAACACCCCTGAACACCCTGACCCACTCCTCTTTGGGGCTTGCCCTCAAGCCCTGCGTGCTCCTGGATGCTCTGACACCCTCTCAGCTGTGCGGTTGTCCTCTAATGAGCTGATGTCTTTGGGGACCCTCACTGCCTCTAATCTCTGCCTCACTCTGTTCTCACCTGGTCGTGGCTTCAGCCATGCTCTCAGCCCAGCTCTATCTGCTTTTCCTGGGGATTGCTGATCTCTGGGTCCCAGCCCCAGCCCCAGCCCCAGCCCCTTGGAGATCCCAGCGGTAGCTCCCACCATCCGCTGACCCTCTGACGCCCCCATCTGCAGCCTAGATCCTGCCCCCTCTCGAGGGACTGCAGAGCCCTCCCTTCCCAGCAGCCCCAGCCCAGGCCGCAGCAATTTTCACTCCTGAACCACCAGAGCCTCCATCACTGTGAGCACACCGGCTCTTCAGCCTATGACCCTGGGGACCCGCTGCTCCCCAGAGCCTGCCGACTTCTCGCCCACCCCTTCCCCCCGACTCCTTGAGCCCTACTGACCCTCAACCCGCCCTGCAGCCCCGGGCCCCGCCCCGGCCCACCACCTCGCTGCTACTGGAACCTCGCAGCCTGCTGGTGCTCCGCGGCCCTGCCTACACACGCCTTCTCCACGGGATCGCTGCCGCCCGCGTAGATGCGCTGGATGCTGCCTCCCCACCGCCCAACGCGGCCGCCTGCCAGTCGGCGCGGCCCGGAGCCTGCCTGGTGCGCGGTACCCGGATCTCGCTGACCATCCGCCGCGTGCCCCGCGTGTTGCGTGCTGGCCTCCTGCTGGGCAAGTGACAGCCACGGCCGGGACCCCTTGGATCCCCCGGCTCCTGCCCGCTTGGGGCTGCTGTGACTCTGCGACCTTGGAACCCTCTTGGGCAGAGGGGGGCTCCCCTGGGTTATTTATTTTCCCAGTAACTTTGTGGGAGCCACTGAAGACCCTATACCAAATAAAAAATATTTCCTTGGTTTAAAATTTTTTTTGGGGGGGGCGGCAAATGCTTGGGTTCCTGAGGGGCACAGCATGTAGGGTCTTAAATGAACGGGATAGGCCCTGGAAGTCAGATGTCTGGGTCCCCAGTGGAGCAGAATCCAAGGCTCTTGGGGAGGGGTTCTATCTGGAACCCCCTTGGATGGCGGAGTGATGCTGGGAGATTTAGCTACTGGCCTGCTAGGCAGTAAGGAGTTAAATGGCTCTTTTGTCACCTGAGCCGGGCATCAAATGGCCTGGTCCAGGTCCTCTTGGAAGGGGCGGAGCCAGGCCTGTCCTGGGCCTCTCCTGCAGCCTCAGGCCCAGTGACTCCAGCGGAGGAGCTCTGGGATACTCTTATCGAGGGAAGAGGTCTTACCGGCTGCCCTCACCTGACTCTGTGTCCCCAGGCCCCCAGCCATGGCCCTATCCCTGCCTCTGGGCACTGGACTTGGCTCAGAGCCCCTCAGCCACCCCCCAGGAGCCCCTAGGGAGCCGGACTTTGTTGGACCTACGGTCTGCCCTGCTGCCGGAGAGGAGAGCACCAGGTGGGGGCCGGGGCTTTTTGGAAGCTTGTTCCAAGAGGGTAGGTGCGGGGGCAGGGACCATGTGAGGGTAAGAGGCGCCATGGCTGTGATCACCTGGGGACATAGGCGAGGCTGCTGGGGTTTGGGTGAGGGTGGGCTGGAAGTGAGGTGTCTGAGACTCACCCATTCCTGCCCCCTGCCTCCCAGCCCAGAGCAGGCCCAGACCCTGGAACAGGACGCCTTGGGCCCTCCTGAGCACTTCCAGGGTGGGCCAAGGGGTAATGAGCCCACCGCTTGTCCCCCAAGATGGTCAACACCCTCTTCCCATGAGGACCCAGCTGGGGGCAGACATTGTGAGGTGAGCTGAGGTGACCCAGACCCCTTGTGCCAGCCCCACCTCCTCTCCATCCCCCGGAGTCTGGCCTCCACACTGAGGACTGGGTGATGATTCTAGAAAGGTGTTGGGTGTCTGTAGGGGGAGGAACCCTCTGGAAAATGTTTCTTTTTTTTTTTGAGGGAGTGCAATGGCGCAATCTCGGTTCACTGCAACCTCCGCCTCTCAGGTTCAAGTCATTCTCCTGCCTCAGCCTCCCGAGTAGCTGGAACTACAGGCCCAAGCCACCACGCCCAGCTAATTTTTATATTTTTAGTAGAGATGGGTTTTACCATGTTGGCCAGGATGGTCTCGATCTCTTGACCTTGTGATCTGCCAGGCTTGGCCTCCCAAAGTGCTGGGATTACAGGGGAAATGTTTCTTTACCAATCAGTAGAGAAGTGTTTCTTTTCTTTTTTTTTTTGAGATGGAGTCTCACTCTGTCACCCAGGCTGGAGTGCAGTGGTGTGATCTCAGCTCACTGCAACCTCCCCCTCCCAGGTCCTAGTGATTCTCCTGTCTCAGCCTCCCGAGCAGCTGGGATTACAGGTGCATGCCACCACATCTGGCTGATTTTTGTATTTTTAGTAGAGACGGGGTTTCACCATGTTAGCCAGGCTAGTCTTGAACTCCCTGGTGATCCACCCGCCTCAGCCTCCCAATGTGCTGGGATTACAGGCATGAGCCACAATGCCCAGCTGTATTTTTTTCATTAAAAAAAAAAAAAAAAAAAAAAAGGAGACAAGGTCTCAGTATGTTGCCCAGGCTGGTCTTGAATTCCTGGGCTCAAGCGATCTTCTGGCCTTGGCCTCCCAAAGTTCTGGGATTACATGTGTGAGCCACCGCACCTGGCTGAGAAGCATATCATCAGAACTCCTGGTGTAGTCCCATTCTTCTCAGGAGGTACCCAGCCCCATCACCCCCTCCCTGCCCTGAGCCCCCACATTGGGCCTCACATATCCAAGTTTCCAGGAGCTTTGAAAACCTGGAAGGCCCCCCAGTGGGAGCGACCCTGGTGCAGACAGACCTGGAGATGGACTCTGCTGCAGAGAAATTTCCAGAAGCTTACAGAAGAGGGGTGAGGAAGGGGGCAGGGGTGATATCTAGATTGGCCCACTGGCCCTGACTTGGCTCCTGTGTTTCCCCAGCACCCTGCTTCTGGCCTGGAGGTACTGGAGGCTGAGCAGGACAGCCTACACCTGTCCCTGCTGGGGCTGGGCCTCCAGCTGCAGGACCTGGAGCAAGGCCCAGGGCGCTGGGCGTTGGCCCAGAGCGGGATGGTACAGCTGCGGGTAGGCAGGGGAGGCCAGGATGTGGGGGTGGGCAGGGCCCCAGCAGTGGGTGACAGCCAGCTTTCTGGGGTGGAAAATGGGGTGAGTGCCTGTTCCAGGCCTGTGGATAGGAAATGGGGGAGGGGGTAACTCCAGGTTGTGGGTTCCTGGTGTCCCTGGTGTGCGTGTGGAGTGATGTCCAACCATGTGTCCCCAGGCCCTCCAGGCGGACCTACGAGGGGCAGCTGAGCGTGTGGAGGCGCTGATAACGTTTGGTGAGGGGCTGGCACAGCGAAGTGAGCCGGGGGCCTGGGCAGCCCTGGAGCAGATCCTGCGGGCCCTGGGAGCTCACCGAGACACCATCTTCCGGAGGCTCTGGCAGCTGCAGGCCCAGCTGGTCAGCTACAGCCTGGTAGGGCCCATTCCAATACCCCCCACCCAACACAGGCCCCAACCTCATAGCCCCCATGACCTCTGTCCTCTGACCCAGGTGTTCGAGGAGGCCAACACACTGGACCAAGACTTGGAGATCGAGGGAGACTCGGACTGGCCAGGACCTGGTGGGGTGTGGGGGCCCTGGGCACCCAGTAGCCTTCCCACTTCCGCAGAATTGGAGTGGGATCCGGCGGGGGACATTGGGGGCCTTGGGCCCTTAGGACAAAAGACTGCCCGGATACTAGGAGCGCCCTGTGAGCTGTGTGGCCACAGAGGCCCCCAGGGCAGGGGACAAGGCCTTGAGGTGAGAGCAGACCCCCTGGAGGGACCTCATGCCAGGCACCCTGAGGACATGTCTTCGTACCTTCTAGCAGGGTCTTTCCCTTCCAAGGAGGTGTCAGTGGCTCTGTCTCTTGGTGTCTCCTTCTATCTCACTGTTTCTGTCTCTCCTGTCTGTCTCTGTCTACATCCTCAAGCTCCATCTCAAATTCACTCCCATCCCGAAGCCCCCAGATGATGCCCCGCTCACCTCCTGACTGTCCCAGGCTCTCCACCTCTTCAGAGAGGCCTGCCCTCACTTCCAAACATGAGCACTCTGATCTTCTTTATTCCCTAACAGCACTCACCACAGCTTGACTTTGTACATTTACTTATCTTTTTGAGACAGTCTCACTCTGTCACCCAGGCTTGAGTGCAGTGGTGCGCTCTCTGCTCACTGCAACCTCCACCTCCTAGGTTCAAGCAATTCTCCTGCCTCAGCCTCCGAAGTAGCTGGGATTACAGGTGTGCACCACCATGCCCGGCTAATTTTTCTATTTTTAGTAGAGACAGGGTTTTACCATGTTGGCCAGGTTGGTCTCAAACTTCTGACCTCAAGTGACACGCCCGCCTCGGCCTCCCAAAGTGCTGGGATTACAGGCATGAGCCACCACGCTGGGCCTCATTTACTTATTAATTTATGGTCTGTCTCTCTCTTGTCAAATGTAAGCTCCGTGGAGGCCAGGTATTTGCCTATTTCCATAACCACTGTGTCCCCAGCTCCTAGCTTGTAACAGACGCTCATTACATATTTATTGAATGAATGAATAAATAATGTCTCTCCTCTCTTGGTTTCTTTGGCTCTGCCCTTGTCTGTCTGTCCCATGAGATCTCTCTGTTCCCCCAGAATCTCATAGAGATGAGATCTAGCCCCTATCCTAGCCCTTCCCCAACCACATTTCTCTTTGTTGCTGGTTCTCCAGGAACCACACTCCTCTCACTCCCGACAGGACATGCTGGAGTCCAGCCTCAGCCACCGAAGAAAACACTTAGCAGGTCACCGAAGACGCTCCCTGCTCCGAAAGCCTCAGGTGAGCTGGTTCTCAACCAGGTGTAGCGCTCAGGAATCTTAATGGTGAGTGACAGAAACCAAACAAGTTGAAAGTTACAAAAAAAAGGGATGCTATTCTTTTTTTAATGTAACTGAAAGGTCCAGGTGCTGTTGAATTCAGAGCCTCAAACACCACCAGGGCTCAGTCCCTCCTTTTCTTGGGCTCTAATTCCCCAAGGTGGCTTCCTTCTCAGCAAAATAGGTGTGTCAGTGGCTACACAGGCATTCCCCCTTGTTTACCCAACCCAGGGGATGGAGACAGCTGCCAAAGTCCCAGGGCTGACTCCCACTTACCAGCTGGGGTCATGGGCTGCACCCTGAATAAACCAGAGTGCTTGGATTGGCCAGGTATGGGTCATACCAATCATGGAAGTGGGGGAGGCAGGTGTCAGTTTCACTTGAACCTGAAGGTCTGGGAGTGGACGGCATGACAGCAGCCCACCTCCAATTGAGCCGCTGCTATCAGAAAAAGGGGGATTGTGTTGGATGAAGGACAGATACAACCAGATATCCACTATACTTGGAGATATTCCAAGTCCATGCAGGGTCCTGGGATGAGGTGCCAGAAAAACAAGAAGAAATAAGACCAGCCCTGTCAGTCTTACACTAGCAGAGAAAAGACCATATGAAGGGTCACTTCTGGCTGGATGCCATGGTTCACACCTGTGATCCTAACACTTTGGGAGGCTGAGGCAGGAGGACGGCTTGAGGTCAGGAGTTCAAGACCAGCCTGAGCAACATAGTGAGCCCCCCCACCATCTCTACAAATCATTTTTTTTTTTTAAAGTAGATGGTTGCAGTGGCATGTGTCTGTGGTCCCAGCTATTAGGAAGGCTGAGGTGAGAGGATCACCTAAGCCTAGGAGGTTGAGGCTACCATGAGTTGTGATTATCAAACCACACTCCAGCGTGGATGACAGCAAGACCCAGTCTCAAAAAATAATGTGCCAGCCAGGCATGGTGACTCACCTATAATCCCAGCACTTTGGGAGGCAGAAGTGGGCGGATCACTTGAGGTCAGGAGTTCAAGACCAGCCTGGCCAACATGGTGAAACCCCATTTCTACTAATAATAACAAAAATGAGCCAGGTGTGGTGGCGAGCGCCTGTAGTCCCAGCTACTTGGGAGGCTGAGGCAGGAGAATCGCTTGATCCCAGGAGGCGGAGGTTGCAGTGAGCTGAGATCGAGCCATTGGAGTTCAGCCTGGGTGGCAAGAGTGAGACTCCTTCTAAAAAAAAAATGTATAATTTCTATCCATTCTGCTGCTGGCTTCTGTCCCTCCTTAGGACAAGAAGAGGCAAGCATCTCCCCATCTCAAGGATGTGAGGCTGGAGGGGAATCCTGGGTGAGATGCTTGGAAGATGGGACTGTGGTGTGGGGGACAGGACTCCTGGCGGCAGCCCACTCATATGTTTAACACTGCATTTCCCTTCACAGGGCTCCGGATCCCGCACCCAGGTGGCCCCTGACCTTCCTCCTTATCCTTTTCCTTCTCTTCCTCCTCCTGGTGGGTGCCATGTTTCTTCTGCCTGTGTCAGGAGGCCCCTGCTGCTTTCACGCCCGAATGCCCCGGATACCCTACCTGGTGCTCAGCTATGTCAATGGTCTCCCCCCAGTCTGATGTGTGTAATAAATGGTCACTGTCAGAGAAAGTGTGAGGATACTGGGTGCTTGCCTAGCCAGAATCTAGAATGTGGCCTGCATATGTCTGAACAGACCCTTTTGCCACGAGCACAGAGCACAGAACTGCATCAGCCCATCTTGGCTGGAGCTGCTCCAGACCCTGACACAAGGGGTCAAATACCAGTTCTTTATTTAGGTGTGGCAGAGGAGCCAAGATGTAAGCTCAGGAAGGGAGAAAGCCAATACTGGGTGAGTTACTGGTTGCTGCTCTGGGCACCTGGGGTGCCATGCCATTGGGGAGCTCTGGGAAATTGTGGAACACAGTTCAAACTGGTTCTACCCTAGGGGCAAAGAAGTTGTGGCTTTTTTTTTTTTTAACAGAGTCCTACTCTGTTGCCCAGGTTGGAGTGCAGTGGTGCAATCTCAGGTCACTGCAACCTCCGCTTCCAGGATTCAAGCAATTATTCTGCCTCAGACTCCAGAGTAGCTGTGATTATAGGCGTGTGCCACCATACCAGGCTCCTTTTCGTTTGTTTGTTTTGTTTTTTTTTTGACACAGGGTCTCATTCTGCTGCTCAGGTTGAAGTGCAGTAGCTTGATCTTGGCTCATTGCAACCTCTGCCTCCTGGTTTCAAGCGATTCTCTGGCCTCAGCCTCCCAAGTAGCTGGGACTACAGGCACGTGCCATCATGCCTGGCTAATTTTTGTATTTTTAGTAGAGACAGGGTTTTGCCAGTTGATCAGGTGGGTCTTGAACTCCTGACCTCAGGTGATCCACCCACCTCAGCTTCCCAAAGTGCTGGGATTACAGGCATGAGCCACCATGCCCAGCTTAGTTTTTGTATTTTTGTGAGCTACCGTGCCTGACCCACATTTCTATACTAGCTCTCATCTCTCATCGTTGAAGAGTTTTCCCGGACATTTTAACGCCCCAGTATTCCCAGCCCTCTGGCCTGTGAAGGTCCCTCCCTGAGGCAAAGCAGCACAGGTGCTTGCCTGAAGCAGGCACAGGAAGGTGCAGGTGATACGGGGGGAGCTGCTGTCGGCATCTGCTGTGGCCTGACTTGCATCCTTAGATGTGCTCGTTCAAATATTCCATGTAGCGGGCTCCTGGGTTGGGCCATCACTGACTCAGGACTGTGAAATCCCTCTTCCCGCTATCTTAACAACACCAGGCTAAATTGCCTATAGTCCAGTCTCCCCAGAGCTTAAGGTATCGGGACAAGAGGTAGGGGCAGAATGAGACTCAAGAACAGATGCAGGAGCCCTGTGTGGGGCCCCAGAATGCACCCTTCACACAGATCTGGGCTCCTGTAATTCTCAAAACTGCTAGCAATGTGGCCCCACTTTACAGCATAGGAAATAGGCTCAAAGAGGGGAAGTCACTGGCCCAGGCCACACTAGTGAGAGCCCAACTCTCACTGACATTAAAACAGAAATGGGAATTAATTAATTTAAGACTGAGTTTCTCTCCGTCACCCAGGCTGGAGTGCAGTGGCGCGATCTCGGCTCAGATCGCTGCAACCTTGGTCTCCTGGGTTCAAGAGATTCTCCTGCCTTGTCTCTGAGTAGCTGGGACTCCAGGCACACACCACTGCACCTGGATAATTTTTGTATTTTTAGTAGAGATGGAGTTTCACCATGTTCGCCAGGTTGGTCTCCAACTCCTCACCTCAGGTGATCTGCTTGCCTTGGCCTGCCAAAGTGCCGGGATTACAGTCATGAGCCACCGTACCCAGCCTGGGAATTTATTTATATAGGTAACAGAAGTTCAGGACTTCAGGACTGGGTACAGTGGCTCACACCTGTAATCCCAGCACTTTGAGAGGCCAAGGAAGGATCACTTGAGCCCAGCAGTTCAAGACCAGCCTAGGCAACATAGTGAGACTCTGTCTCTATAAACAACAAAACAAAAGAAAAATATAAATTAAGGACTTCAGGCATAGTTAGATGGTAAGGCTCTAATGCTGTCTCTTGTCTCTCATTTCTTTCCTCTATTTTGGCTTCATTCTTATCCTAGCAATGGCCTGAGTGACCCTCAAAACCTCCAGCCATACGTAGCTGAGTCCAAGTCATATAATTCACTGCACAACAGGCAGTAAGTAGAGAAAAGTGTTGGGGCGAAGAAAGCAACTTCATACGAGGCCAGGTGCAGTGGCTCACGCCTGTAATCCCATCACTTTGAGAGGCTGAGATGGGTGGATCACCTGAGGTCAGGAGTTTGAGACCAGCCTGGCCAATGTGGTAAAACCCGGTCTCTACTAAAAATACGAAAAAAAAAAAAAAGAAACCCCGCTGTGGTGGCATGTACCTGTAGTCCCAGCTACTCAGGAGGCTAAGGCAGGAGAATTGCTTGAACCTGGGAGGCGGAGAGTGCAGTGAGCCAAGACTGCGCCATTGCACTCCAGCCTGGGTGACACCGTCTCAAGAAAAAGGCAAGCAACTTCATTTGGAGACACAGCAAACCAAGAAGATGGCAGACTAGTGTCCTAAAGAACCATCTCAAGTTTGTATAAATTTTAGGTTTCTTTTTATGCTAAGGGAAGAGGGTTGAGGTTAGAAGGTAACCAATGGGCTCGCGCCTTGGTGGCTCACGCCTGTAATCCCAGCACTTTGGGAGGCCGAGGCAGGTGGATCAAATGAGGTCAGGAGTTTGAGACCAGCCTGACCAACATGGTGAAACTCCATCTCTACTAAAAAATACAAAATATTAGCTGGGTATGGTGGCGTGTGCCTGTAATCCCAGCTACTTGGGAGGCTGAGGCAGGAGAACTGTTTCAACTTGGCAGACAGAGGTTGCAGTGAGCCAAGATTGTGCCATTGTACTCTAGCCTGGGTGACAAGAGCAAAACTCCATCTCAAACAAACAAACAAAAAAGGTGACCAATGACTATAGACATCTCGATGCCAGAAGAAAACTTCTTTGATGATGCCGGTCAGGTCACATAAAATATTCTTGTAAATCTTTATTATAACATTGTTACTTGTGAGTACAATTTCCTATCTCCTGGTGGGGTGGTTAGTTTTGGGAAAGGGACGGTTATTTTTTTCTAAAGTTGAACTACAAATTCCTTCTATAATTAGCTTGTCTACACCCAAAGCTAAGCAGAAGCTTTTAACCTAAAGGATATTACTGCAGGCCATCAGATGCAAAATGGAGTCAGTCATTCTAAGCCTCCCTCCACTGTGACATACACACACCACCAATTTAGCAGCCAATAGTAGAGTCACTGTTCCTTTGTAGTTCCAACCAAAGTCCCAAGGCTGCTTCTCTGGCTTCAGTCACATGCCCCACCTTTGCTGGGGGCTGCAGTCAGCCCTGCCCTAACCATGTGGACTGAAAATGGCAGAAGGGTGGGTATCAAGAGAGTATCAAGTTGTTGCTACTGGAAGAGGGGAACAGACACTGATGGAGTGGGGGAAGCTGCAGATTCTGGGAGAGACTCCAGATTCAGGGAAAAGTCAGGACACAAACGGGATTTGTCCTGTTTCAAAGGCCAGGCCGAGACTCTGGCATCAACCAGAGAGGAGGTATTGGTTCCCCCTGAGATCACCAGCAAATAGAGGGGACAGACTTGGCAATATTGACCCAAGAGGCAGTAATGGAGCACATCTGTGTCATTCATTCATTTAATAAACATTGACAGTCTGCTATGAGTCAGGTCCTGGTCAAGGAACAGAGACAGGACAGTAAACAAGATGGATTAAAATCCAGGTCCTTCTGGAGCTTGGGGAGATTGACCATAACTAAAAGAAATAAGTGAAACATGTATTGGTTCAGGGTGATAAGTGCTGAGGAGAAAAATAAAGTGAGCAAGGGAAAGGGGAGCACAACTGAAACGGTGTGGTTGGAGAAGGCATCAGGGAGTCAGTAGAATGGAGTCATTATGTTAAAATTATGCCATGAGAGCAGACTGTAGTGAGGAAACAGGCCATGGGGACTCCTAGAATAGTGCTGTCCAATGGAAATAGAATGTGAGGCCGGGCACAGTGGCTCATGCCGATAATCCCAGCACTTTTTGAGGCGGGTGGTCAGGAGATCCTAGGCCAGTCTGGCTAACACAGTGAAACCCCATCTCTACCAAAAATACAAAATTAGCCCAGTGTGGTGGCACATGCCTATAACCTTCCCTTCCCTGTAATATTGGCTCACTGCAACCTCTGCCTCCTGGGTTCAAGCAATCCTCCCTCAGCCTCCCAAGTAGCTAGGATTACAGGTGCCCGCCACAGCACCTAGCTTTTATTTTATTCCATCCTCCCTTTGGTCTGAGGTCTGTGCTCCTTACCTGTGGTCGTCCTCCCCACAGCTACATCCACAAGAACTCATTTCCACTTATTTCACTGATATGGGTGCAAATCCAGCTCAGGGATGCAAAATGCATCGCTCCACAGAATGTCTAGGGCAGGCCCATACGGGGACACAGGAGGAAGTATGCCTGTGATCTATGGGGTTCCTCTCCACTCCGCTGCCCCATGGCCTTGTCGTTGTAGCTGAGGCTGGACCCTTCGGTCAGGTTTCAGAAATTTCCATTGATTTCTGAAATCTTTGCTAAAATAAAAAATAAAAAATAAAAAAAAAAAGAAATTTCCAGGTCTGAGACCCTTACTACTGCCTCAGGGGTTCTGAGCCAGTTCTCACTCCACCATTTCCTCTTCAGCACAAAGATGTTAAATCGCTTGCCTCCATTAGGGAGACAACTGGGGTGTCTTTGGGGGTTAAGCCAGGATGAGCCCCCCCCCCACAGATCTGCCCAAGGTAGAGAACTATGCCACTTCAATCAATGTGCCAGTCTAGAGGGCTCCAGAAGGAGTCATATCCCCACACCTATCACCTCCCAGATGGTCCCTTCCAGGTGTGTGTGTGTGTGTGTGTGTGGTGGTGGGGGGATTCAAAAATCCCCAAAGATATAAAAGCATTAAGACCACCAACAGGAGGCTGGGCATGGGGGCTCACACCTGTAATCGCAGCTTTGGGAGGCTGAGACAGGAGGATCACCTGAGGTCGGGAGTTCAAGACCAGCCTGGCCAACATGGAGAAACTCTTTCTCTACTAAAAACACAAAATTAGCTGGGAGTGGTGGTGCATGCCTGTAATCCCAGCTACTCGGGAGGCTGAGGCAGAAGAACTGCTTGAACCCAGGAGGCAGAGGTTGTGTGAGCCGAGATCTCAACATTGCACTTCAGCCTGGGCAACAAGAGCAAAACTGCATCTTAAAAAGAAAAACAAAAAAAGCAAAAAGACCACCAACAGGGAAGTAGACACACCCCCAATTTTATTCCCCTTGTGCAACATTCTGAGAGGGAAGGGGCAAAGGAATCAAGGCTGCCCCTCAAAACAATCAAGTAAGGGCCTTGAGGGGTCTTCAGTTGATCAGACAGGGTGAGAGACCCCTAGCCCCTTCCTCACGGTCCTGGCTTGTCACAATCAATGGGGTAAAGTTTTCCTAATGGGGATTCCGGGTTTCTCACCGCTCATCTGGGCACCTTCCCAAAACGTTCTCAGCAAGAAGTCTGCACTTCTCAGATTTAAAAACAGAAGAGGGGAGTCTATTGAGGAGCCAGAGGTGGGTATGTTCTCAGGGGGGAAGAAAAGGGTGTCTCAGACTCTCCCCGTCCATCAGGGGGTCATCCTGGCTCCCCGTACCTTCGGGCGAGTAGCTCTTGGCTTGACACTGTCCAGCCCGCTGGCGTCCCAGGCCGTTCCAAGCCCTTCTGGGGGAAGAGAGACGATGTGTCTTCAAGCATCGGATAAGGCGGGTCTCTCTTGCCGTCCATCACCGGGCTCTCTAGGCCCCCTGCGTCGCCAAGGGGGAGTCTCTGACATCCCCAATCCGTCGAGCTAGTGTCTCAAGACCTCTCACCTTAGGCGGGTTCCCTAGTACCCCCCCATGCAGTCAGGCGAGCCTCCAGGCTCCACCGCGCCAAAGAGCAAGTTCTGCTCTTCGCCTGTCACCGTCCGTCGGGCCGGGTCTCCGGTGCCTCCGTGCTGTCCTGGGGGTTCCTTGGACAGTCGCTGTCGTCAGGCTGGGAACCCACGCCGCCAGGTTCCTCCGTCGGGGCCCGTGGGCGTACGAAGGCTCCCATGCCGGTGGCGTGGCCCGAGCGCAGTAGCTGCAGCTGGCGCCGCCCGCGGCGGTACAGGTACTCGATGCGCAGCACGTCTGAGCGCGGCAGACCCGCGTGCTGCCGGAACTCGGCCCGCACCCGCGCCTCGGCGCCCGGCTTCCCGCGCCCAGCGCGCAGGAGATCGCGGTACAGGCTCAGAACCTGCTTCTGCAGCCGGCTATGCCGGCTCATAACCGCGGCTGGGCAGAGACACGCAGCCAACGCCCTGCGAACAACAGAGCAGCCACACAGCCCACAAAGGCCAAAGGGCAAAGCAGCAGCTACTTCCGCCCTGCGCTTCCTTTGGCCTCCAACTCCCGCCTCCCACCATCCGGCGCTGCCGCGTCTAATTGACTGTCGTCGCAGTTACGTCACAGCGGCCTGGGCGAGGGGGGCGGAGCCGCTGGTCGCTGCCTCCCCCATAGGGAATTTGTAGCAGTTCTGGAGACCCTGGCACCTGCGTCTCGTAGGAGGCGGGCGCTATGTGTTTGGACTTCTAGGTCTTGGATCGGAGGGAACAGAGGGTCCTGATATAACTCCTGCATCCTGGGAGAAGAGGAAGCTAGAGTTCGTTTTCTTCTTTTTTTCTTTTTGTGACGGTCTCGCTCTGTCCCCCTAGCTGAAGTACAGTGGCGCGATCTTGGCTCACTGCAGCCTCGAACTCCTGAGCTCAAGAGATCCTCCCACCTCAACTTCCCGAGTAGCTGGAACCACAGGCGCGCATAACCGCGCCCGCTATTTATTTTATTTTTATAATTATTTTTATTTATGTATTTATTTTTTTGCAGAGATGGGGTTCCGCTGTGTTGCCCAGGATGGCCTCGAATTCCCAAAGTATTGGAATTCCTGGCATGAGCCACGGCGCCCGGCTATGGGTTCAGACTTTGGGTCCCAAGGGCGAGGGGCACTGGGAGAGAAGCCGGGGACAAGCATGCTTTTGCCGTCAGTTACTGATTCAAACCATCTCGGGGAACTCCGTGCGTTCCCTTGACCGGGGCAGGTCTGTGTTGGGGGTCCGAGCCCTGGGCACGCGCAGAGGGACACGGCCCCCGCGGGAATGGCTGACGGGGGGTGGGACAGGCCTCTCCGTGCTGGGGGAAGACAGGCAGAGAGGGTGTGGGCGCCAACCCCCAGAGGCAGCGTGGGGCTCTAGGAGCTGGGTTGGTCTCGCCCTCTGCGGGTGGAAGTCGGGGCGCGGGAAGCTGTGTTTGGGTCCTCACCGACTCTTAAAGCCCTGAGTCCGGCATGCCCTAGGCAGTCTACTAGACCGGCACCCCGGAGTCCTCTCGGGAGCTTCAGGTCGTCTGCCACAATTCCGTTGTTGTCCCCGCGGGCCGCCTGGAGGCGTCCTCGTAGCGCCAGGGAGGCCCGCAGGGACACGGCCTCTTTGAGCCCCACCAGCATCGGAGCATAGGGAACCGTTTGCTGACAACCCCGGACCCTTTCCGCACACTAGGGCCGGCAACCAGCTGTGGGTCGGTTCCCCTGCAGAAAGGAGAAGCTGGTCAGGGGCTGGGATTAGGCTGGGAGTCTTGGAGTCAAGGGAGGCTCAGAAACCACTGTGAATCCTGCTTGGCTGGTGTGTGTATCCCTATCAAAAATACATGTCCTAGAACGCAGTGTCTCGCGCTGTAATTCCAGCACTTTTGGAGGCTGAACCGGGCGGATTATCTGAGATCAGGAGTTCGAGACCAGTCTGGTCAACATGGTGAAACCTCTGCCTCTGGGTTCAAATGATTCTCCTGCGTCAGCCTCCCAAGGAGCTGAGACTACAGGTGCCCAGTACCACCCCCAGCTAATTTTTTTATTTTATTTTATTTTTAGTAGAGATGGGGCTTCACTATGTTGGCCAGGCTGGTCTTAAACTCCTGACCTTGTAATCCGCCCACCTCAGCCTCCCAGTATTGAGATTACAGGTGTGAGCCGCTATGCCTGGCTACCGACCCTTCTAATAATAATACCTGCACCTCCTTTTTGGCAGTTGCCCATATGTTCAGCATGTGCACTGAAGGTATTCCACATCCAGGATCCAGTGATGTGTACAGGACCCAGGGCTGCCTAAACAGATTATTTCTCACTCCTCTGGGCCCCAATCATTGACCGGGCGAAGCCTATCAGAGGCAACCCTGGGACCTTTGCAGGAACCAGTGGAAAAGGGTGTTAAATTTTCTCCAGGGGCTGGGCGTAGTGGCTCATACCTGTAATCCCAGCACTTTGGAAGGCTAGGTGGGCGGATCGCTTGAGCCCAGGAGTTTGAGACCAGCCTGGGCAACATGGCAAAACCCCATCATTACAAAAAGTACAAAAATTATCTGGATATGGAGGCATGTGCCTTTAGTCCCAGCTCTTTGGGAGGCTGAGATGGGAGGATTGCTTGAGCTCAGGAGGTTGAGGCTGCAGTGAGCTGAGATCACGCCATTGTACTCCAGCCTGGGCAACAGAGCAAGACCCTGTCTCAAAAAGAAAAGAAAAGAAAAGAGAATCCTGCCTGATAGAGTGCCCACAAAGACCAGTGGATGTGGACTGCCCATGTCATGGTCCCGCCTGACTGAAGTCACTGCATAGGTCTGCCTTGTGTGATGTGTGCAGTGATGTGCGTACTGCCAGTTGTAGAAGAGATGCAGTGTGGGCAGTTCTTCTCCAGACCTGCCTCTGCCCATTGTTCTGAGATGCAGAAGTATCCTGTCTGTCGCCCAGGATAACTGACAGCCTGAGCTGCTGTGGGTTCACCTGCAGGGGTGACCAAGAGCTGGGGTCTCCAGAGGGTCTGAATTCCTGAGCATTTGGGGAGGGGTGGGGGAATAAGGAGGTTGAGGAGGTTGGACATTGGGATACTGAGAGTGGGACCTTCGAAGATCTAAGATGCCTCACCCTCAACTACTAACCAGGAATCTTCGTGTGTGTTTAAATAGAGGGTTTCGCCATGTTGCCCAGGCTGGTCTGGAACTCCAGACCAGGTGATCTGCCCACCTTGGCCTCCCAAAGCGTTGGGATTATAGGCGTGAGCCACCATGCCTGGCCTCTAACTGGGAATCTTTTTTTTTTTTTTTTTTTTGAGATAGAGTCTTGGCTATTTGTCTTTGACCACATCTCATGTTGAATTGTAATCCCCAATGCTGGAGGTGGGGTCTGATGGGAGGAGTTTTGATCATAGGGTTGGATCTCTCATGGCTTGGTGCTGACTTCATGACAGTGAGTCATGAGATCTGGTCATTTAAAAGTGCATGACACTTCCTCTCTTTCTCTTTCTCCCACTTTCTTTTACTTTTGGTTTTTTTTTTTTTTTTTTGAGACAGAGTCTCACTGTCACCCAGGCTGGAATGCAGTGGCTCAATCTCAGCTCACTGCAACCTCCACCTCCCAGGTTCAAGCAATTCTCTGCCTGAGCCTCGTGAGTAGCTGGGACTACAGGTGCCCACCACCACACCCGGCTAATTTTTGTATTTTTAGTACAGATGGGGTTTCACCATATTGGCCAGGCTGGTCTTGAACTCCTGACCTTGTGATCCACCCACCTCAGCCTCCCAAAGTGCTGGAATGACAGGCGTGAGCCATAGCACCCAGCTCTCACTCCCACTTTCACCACGAGATGTGCCTGCTCCCCCTTCACCTTCTGTCATAATTGGAGCTCCCCGAGGCTTCACTGGAAGCCGAGCAGATGCCTGCCCCATGCTTCCTATACAGCCTGCAGAACCATGAGCCAATTAAACCTCTTTTCTTTACAAATTACCCTGTCTCAGGTATTTCTTTATTGCAATGCCAGACTGGACTGATACAATACCCAAGTGATATCTTGTCCTTCTTTTGCTCAGAATCCTTCCTTGTCTATAACCTCACACAGAATAAAAGGCAAAGTTGTTGCAAGGTCTGTTTGCGGTGGCTCATACCTGTAATCCCAACACTTTGGGAGGCCGAGGCAGGCAGATCACCTGAGGTCAGGAGTTCAAGACCAGCCTGGCCAACATGATGAAACCCTGTCTCTACTAAAGATACAAAACAATTAGCTAGGCATGGTGGTGCACACCAGTAATCCCAGCTACTTGGGAAATTGAGGCAGAAGAATTGCTCGAACCCAGGAGGAGGAGGCTGCAGTAAGACAAGATGGTGCCACTGCACTCCAATCTGGGTGACACAGTGAGACACCGTGACAAAAAAAACAAAACAAAACAAAACAACGCTGTTAGAGCCAGGGCCCTCATATAAAGGCTGGAATGTAACAAAAGTCCACCAAGAGTTTCCCAGGCCTTTCCTGGGCCGTGAAGCACGACAAGATCACATAGGAATTTTTAACAGGACCTGTTTAAGATTAAACAAGTTTTTGCAAATCAACCAGAAGTTGATTTAATAAATAAATAAATTACTTTAAAAATAAGATTAAACAAGTTTTACTGAGGGTCTGAAGGAACTCCCCAGACCTCCACAAACAATCTTTATTGGAGTCTAAAGGAACTCCCCAAATCTCCATGATTTAGCCTGAGACAAGATAAGGGTAATCACCCCAGCACCCGGACCCATTTAGATGAAGTAAATGTACTCATGTCATCTAAAGACAGAAGTGATTCATTTCTTCTAATATAGCCTAGAAGGTATATAAGCTCTGAAAAACTTTGTAATTTTGGGTTGGTCTGGGGATAATTTCCAGACCTTCTCCCTGTAACGGGTTACAGAAATAAAAACTCTTTTATTTCCCAGTTCATCTGCATCTTATTATTAGGCTGTGAGAATAAGTAGCTGAACCCTAGATTTGGTCTGGGAACACTAGTACGTCATAACCATCATCAAGGCCCCCAAACCAGCAACCCTGATTAAACATGCTCTAGCTCCCACAGCCTTCTTTTTTTTTTTTTGAGACGGAGTTTCGCTCTTGTTACCCAGACTGGAGTGCAATGGCGCGATCTCGGCTCACCGCAACCTCCGCCTCCTGGGTTCAGGCAATTCTCCTGCCTCAGCCTCCTGAGTAGCTGGGATTACAGGCATGTGCCACCATGCCCAGCTAATTTTTTGTGTTTTTGGTAGAGATGGGGTTTCACCATGTTGACCAGGATGGTCTCGATCTCTTGACCTCGTGATCCACCCCCCTCGGCCTCCCAAAGTGCTGGGATTACAGGCTTGAGCCACCTCGTCCAGCCCCCACAGCCTTCTAACCAGAGCAGTGCCCCTACACCTTCCTGAAGGAGAACTGGGGACATGCTAGTGGCTGCACATGGTCCTAGGATATGTTCCCAGCTCAGGGAATTTGGAAGCTTCAGATGCCTGTGTCAGGAAACACAGCGAACACCCCTCATATGACACTTAACCACGAGTTGGACTCTGTTCCAAGTGCTTTTCCTGTGTTAACTCATTCTCACCTCACAGGAACCTGCTGAGGGAGGAGCTAGAGAGCCGCAATCTCTTATCTACCATCTACAAATGCAAACAACAACAACAACAACAAAAAGACCTGAAGACTGAAGATGTTTTGTGTGTTTGATGTTAAAACTCAATTATCAGCTAAAGCTAACCTGAACTCATGTGCCGCTGCTATAGTCTTAATTTATCCTGCTTCATGTGAATG